CCTGGTGGCACCCCGTACACAAGCAAAATACAAAATCTCACAGGTAAATCACAAAGCAACGGCAATATCAATCCAAAGTCCAGTTAGAAAAAAGACGAATTAAAATATTTAAATAATACAATATGAATATGCATATATAAAAATATATTTATTTTAATAAAATCAACAGAGTTGAGTAGAGAGAGAGAGAGAGCTATGCAATGTATTTATTTTATTTAAAGCTAATCTAACCGATTCCTGTAAGGGTCTAAGTTACACATTTATGAATATGCTTATCGAGTACAAGCGTCATTTCTGAAAAAGTATTGTAGAGTACTTAGAACTCTACCAGGCCGCTGCAAAGTGAGACAAGTGTGTGCCACAAGCCAGGAGATGACCGCGACCGCGACGGCAACGCACGACAGAGTCAGAGTCAGAGGCAGTGGCAGACCAAGAGGTAGAGGCCAGGCAATCGGCCAAACTGTCAGGCATGGTGCGTTGTGTGCCAAAAGAGCAACCGCAGCAACAGCCAATTGGCAACTGGCAACTGGCAAGCAGCAGACAACAGACAACGGACATGGACAGCCGACAACCGACAACCGACAACCGACGGCCGACAAGCAACAGGCGCAAGTCAAGTGAATGGCCAATGACCACCAAATTGGCAGTAAAGCATACAAAAATAACTTCAAATGGTCAAAAGGTTAACAAAATCAAGCAGTGTGCGCGAACAGAACCCGATGTGCACACTGACTACCAGTCGCTGGGAGACGGGGGTAGGGGGTAGGAGTCCGGTCCAGGTGCAGACAGAGTTTGTTCCGGGACCTGGCCTGCTGCAGCTGTTCCCGCCAGTCAGCCGCATGCGCAACATGTTGCCAGCATTCCGTCAGTGGCGTCGGCTGCCGCTGCTGCTGCTGGCGCTGCTGCGACGCCGGCAACATAATCCCCCAGCCGATGCACAACTAAAAAAATGATTAATGAGTTGCCTCATTACTTGGCGAAAATCAATGTCGCGCATATGCTCTGGGCCAGAAGGAAGCTGGCGAGAGCCAACGTAGCCGGCACTTGGCCATGTTGTCGCTGGGCCTGTTGCTGCCGTCGAACGTCGCCTCGTCGCATAATAAATCGATCATATTTTTAATGCAGACTCAAATATCAAAATGTCAGGCGCTGATTCTGATCAACCGCGACAATCTGCTCCTGTCGCACACGACGCTGCGGATGGCAACGTGACGCCAAAGATTCTTTCGATGTGCCCACATGTGTTGCCAGCAGCCTTGGAGAGTCGTGTGCTCGCACTGTCTGATCGAGTGACTGACTCTGATTCGAGCACCGACTCTCCTCTGGCTCTAAATCTGAATCGGAGTAATCTCTCGCTCACTTGCAGTCGCGCTTCGTGCCTGTGGCTTTCTATGCCCTTGCAGAGGGTCATAACATTTTGTCATTTAGTGTGTAACGCATAAAGGGAGATATACAATCTTTCAATGCGCTTTCTCAGCAACTTTCACAATGTTATTAATATGTGGTTAACATTGGAGCGAACTCTAGAAAAATAAGTTATTGTTTGAAGAACTTTTTAGTTCTCCAAATATCTTAATCAAACTCGAGACTACTTATATCTAATATGCTTCCTAAATGTGAGAAAATTCTTATGAATATCGAACTGCTTTATCATTATATCGGACGGATCCGTCAAACATTAGTTTTGGTAGGGAAAATGCTCTGGTTTTTCAGCATAGCTTCTAAGCCATTTGTCCACAAGTGTATTTAATCTTCGGCGTGCCAAAGATGGCCTTTGTTTGTTGTTTTAATTGCGGTCGCGCGCCTGCCAACAGTCTCAGTTTGAGGTCTGGTCGTGGCTCTGGCTCTGGATCTGGATCTGGATCTGTGCCTGTTGTGCTGCTGACTGATTTTATTTATTAAACTGTTGACATTCTGTTTACAGTGCTGGCGCTCTGCTTCTTTTGATTCCATCACCCGATATCGATATCAACAGCTTTGATGGCGCCTGCAACGGTTAAATTTATTGCGGCTTGTAGTAATTGATTAACTTGATGGCAAGCTGCGACTTATTGTCAACGGTTCTGCTCTTAACCATCTGTTATATAAGCAGAAAAATAACAAAAAGCAACAAATTGGGAAAATAAGCATATATAACATATTACCCATTTATCATAAATCCATATTTTTAATAATTGTTATATGTATTTTTGTACACAGAAACTAAGTCATACAAATGGATTGGGCAAGTCAAGGGTTCATTTAGGTTGACTAGAACTAAGTCAACTCTTGCCAAATATAATTTTGAATCTGCTTCGATCTCCAGGTCAAAGAAAGGAAACCTTTAAATAAATTGCCTTGAAGACGGTTGCCGTAGCGCATCTGATATATCTTGTAAACCCACACCTCGAGCCAGCTAAACGAAAAGTCAATGTCTTAAACAATTACAAGAATATACCACATGTGTATAATTTATTTGTACTTCAGCGAATTTCATCTTGTTTTTAATTTATAACGTTTACTCTATAATTTTACTAAGCTAGCTAAACTGAGGTCTTCGTTTCAGATGTATCCTCTACGATTTCGATATTGAGTCACATTCGAGCGCTCGTCGCTTTATGTCGTAATCGTTAAGGTGAAAGTGTGAAATAATAAAAAGTACATTATCAATGCGCTTTAAATACACAACGACGTAAAATTATTATCGTTATGCTCGTACATAAAATATTTATTGTAAATAGAGCCGAGAGTTCGTGTTGTTGCTGCTCAGGGGCCAATAAACTAAAGCGATTGAACTCTTTATCGCTAGGGTTATATATAAACAGACTTGTGCACAAAGCAAATATTGTAAATCTACTATAAAGCCGCAGATCAGGCGGATTCGAAGTAGTGCCAAATTGAACTAGCTTGTGCTGGAGCAACAGAATTTATGAATTTATGACCTTTATCAAAGTACGACACGTTAAAGTTTACCTTTCCCACATGAGGGAAGACGCCTCTGAATCACAGAGTACAAGTACTTGTTCGATATCTATGACGATTAGACGAAAGGGATACAACAAAATATTAGAGTCAATAACATTGAATGGTTATGTTGGGCAGTGTTGTTGTTGTTATTGTTGTTGTTGTTGTTGTTGTTGTTGTTGTTGTTGTTGTTGTTGGTGCTGTTGTCGGCGGCACAAACAAGTTGAATGGCATTGCAAATGCGCAACAAGAACTGCGGCGAGCGGGTCACTCGGCGGACTAGGAAGATTTCCTCTGCTTCAGCAGCGGCAACAGCAGCCAAGTGCCAGCAGCAGTTTGATTGTTATTGCCAATGAATGAATGCACTTGCTGCCTTTTGTCTGTGAGGATTGCCTGAACGGGCCGTTGCCAGACGAAACAACAACCGACTCCAGCCAGCGAGTTCATCTCCACAACAGCGCCAGGGGGCATGCAACACATTTTGCGGTGTGCTGTTGCAGCTTCTGCTGCCATTGTTTTCACTTCTGCTGCTGCCCTTTGTTGTTGCGTAAGCCCAGGGGGTGTTGGTATTATTGTTGTTTTCCTGGCGCTGTTGCGGCTGCTGCGGCTGCTGTTGCTGGGGCATTTGGTATTTACAAATGTGTTGGCAATGAATTTGCCGGCATGCCACAAACAACATATCCGTTTGGCATTATATTGCGACACCCAACCCGACCCCAAATGCACTCCTACACGTCGTCCGTTTGATCCTGGCAAATGCAACTCCAAACTCATTGTCACTGACATTTTCACACTTTCTTTGGAGTGGGCGAGAAACTCGTTAACTGGCTAGCAGATGCTCCCTGGCAAAGGACATCCTTGTTTTTCTGCTGCCAATGATTTATTGATATCTCCCCGCTCTTCTATGAGCAGTGCAACCATAAATTTAATATACATTTTAAATTCAACTCAGCTTACAAGGTCCACAATCATTTTTAAAAAGTCACCATAAGCTGGCTTTTTAAATAAATTACATGTTTAACGGATATGAGCTTGAACCCAAAACTACACCCACCAAATCTTTGATTCCCATTACCACTAAGTAGGTGTGGATTTTTTGAATAGTGTAAGAAACCGCTTAAAGATCTTTAAAACAGAGTTTGAGGTCGATTTTCTGTTAAACAGAAAAGTTACATTCAGCCGTTTTCACGATTTTTCCCAATCTCGCGGGTGGAATTTCCCAAAATCCAGTCTTAGCGAGCATCTCTATTATTATGAGGTACCTTTAGCACTCTTTCAGCCAATCATTCAGTCATACATATATTCATCAATTGACGATAATAGCAAATGCATTTAAGAATAATAATTTTGATACAACTACAGCCAAAAAGCGTATACTACAAAAGTTCGCATGCTCGACATACTTTATAAGAGCAATCCGTTGAAATTTCAACACCCTTTTGATAAAAAAAAAGAAGAAACAAAATATTGGCGCTGCTGGCGATTTTGCATTGTTCAGGTGCTGGAATACAACATAACTACATAAATTTATGTACATACAATACTTGTAGGAAGCTCGTACTACAAGCATAATAACAACCGATGCGAGGCAGTGTCGACATCAGGAATCGCCACTTCTTCAATTGATTTTGAAAGAGGCAGCACGAAACGGCTTTGTTGGTGGTCAGGGCTCACTGGTGCAGCTGAAGGGAAGTGTGGGGCATAAAACGAAAAACATTTGGAACAATGGACTAACGAATAACGAGGGGTATTGTGTGGTACCATATTGAATAAATTGATATAGGTTGATATTGGTATTGGTATTGACAGGTGAGACAGGGGGGAGAGAGAGAGAGCTAGAGAGAGAGGAAAAAATTTAAAATCGTATCAATTGAAACCAGTTTCGATGTCGTTGTTAACACATGTTGGCCGAGAATTAAATGTGCCGCCAATTGGCAGACATATAAATTTTCAAATGCCAGCAACAGGACTTCATGCTGCATGGTGTTGTTGAACGACTTTCAGTAGGCCTTGGCTTAAAGTTAAAGCAGTTGTTGTTAACTGTTTAGTCAGATTCATTTTTATTTCGTAAGTCAACGAGCACCAAATAAATAAAAATTTGAAAAATTCAAGTGGTTGCACAATGTCAAACCTTCAAGATGTACCGCTTGCCGAGCCAGAAGACTTGCCAACAATTGAACAGGACACAGCCGGATCGAAATCCAATTCGCTAAAACGCTTCTTCAAGCTTGGCAAGAAGTCGAACACAAGCCAAGAAGCATGCGAGGAGGTGACTGAGCTGGAAGATGAGGCCAACAAAGATCCTGCCAAGCCGGGCAGCATTAGTCGTTTACTCACACGACTGAAGGGCAACTCCAAGACAGGTAGCTAACCAAATGACACAAACTGATAATCCAAACTATACTACACTATCTAGGCAATGTACAATTTGTAGAGCAAAACGAGCCCACTTCCAGCAATAACGAAACGGCTGTGGAGGAGGCTGCTGACAAGCCGGTGCCAAACCTAAAGCCCACAATAAAGACATCGATATCAGGCTATTGGAAACAGCTATTCCACCGCCAGAAGGTGGCCAATCGGCAGGAACAGAAACCGGCAACGGATCAAGAGACAATCGAGTTGCAGGACGAGCCGCAGCAAACTGATTCGATTAATGCCGAAGAGGGGCCCACAATAGCAGCAGCAGAAGCCTTGCGCGAGGATATCATTCTAAATGTGCCAGAAAAGACGATGGATAACCAAACAAATTGCATTCCCGAGATCATCGAGGAAGTTCAAATGCTCGCCATTTCAGATGAGATTGTGGATCCATCGAATGATGACAACAAAAAATAGGACAGGGTCACAGTTTCGACCAACATAAATTTATTGTTATCCAGTTTTAAGAGCCTGCCAGCCTTCTGCCACACACTTCGTACACATTTTGAAAAATCCCGACTATATACATATACACAAACACGCATATTAAACACATTAGTTCATCTGCAGTTCAGCTTTAAATTGAGTCCAAAATGCTGAATAAAGCTTATTCAAATAAAATCAATATCATAATCTTTATTTCCATTAACTTCTTACAACCAACACATTTACAGCTTGTAAGCCGATTCCAGCCTGGCTGACGAATCAGTTCACAAAGTTCAGTTAAATCTGTTGTTAAAGTGTCGCCTGGCTTCAATTTCCCCCTTTTGGTTTTTTTTGGTGCAGGTCAAAAGGTGCCGCATAAGCCAGACAAAAGTCTCGGACAACCCCTAAATATTTGCCCAGTTTTCACTTTCCGAAGAAGCCCTAAAAAAGTCCCTTACGTTACATAAAGAATTGCAAGTGTGTGTTAAATTGTAAATTAAAATTTAAATAAAGTACCAAAATCGATTTATAGCAGCCAAATTAAAAGCGATATATAACAATGATAAGTTATACAAAGAAGAGTTGGAAATGTGATCGAATTATATAAAAATATATATAAAACTCTAAAAAAGGTTATTTTTCAGGCAAGGTTGCCTTAGAGTTTTCTATTTCAATTATAGGAAACAAAATACTTTGTGGATAATTTTTGCTTTTAATTCACAAGAAACTTTTGAAATAAAATTAGTTTTATGCTCAATAAAACCTCTTTAGCTTAAATACTTTTTCATTTTAATGTAAAAGAACCTTACGTTTTTAAATTAAAATAAGGTTATCATAAACTTTCTCATATGTCAAAATAGTTCAAAAATGTCCTCCAAAAACTAATTTGTTCAAATTGATTTTTGAAATAAAGCCCAGACAAGCCTTTACTTAGAAATAATATATATTATGTATCTAAAAATACTCCAACTAAGGCTTTTATTTCAAGCCTAATTGGTTTAAGATCAAAACATTGACTATCGACACTCAATATATTTATGATATATCTGATCTACAAGGATAGTAGAATTATTTCAAAAGTCTCCAAAGGCAAGACTTGTTGCATTTAAAAAGAACAGCTGAAATAATTACAAACAATACGCATTAAGTGCGCAAACTCAACACGAAACCATCTGACAAGGGACACCGTAAATATTTACATGAGAGCAGACCAAAACAAACACTTGTTGAACTAGCCGCTGAGTTGGAAAAGCGGAAAAGCGCGGAAACAGCGTTATGCGAAGTAAACATTGGATATGCGCATGTCCCAGTTGTAGCTGGTTTTTCGGGCCTCTTTCGGGGTGAGTGTTCATCAGCAGTGAGAAAAGTGGGTCAACGCCGAGACACGGCATGTTTCGGCCATAAAATCTACTAAATTTCTGCTATAAAATTAACTAAAATTAGTATACAAATTTGTAAATAACAGCTACAATGAATAGTTTCATAAACAAAAGTGATAAGTGATAGAAGGACCAGTGTGTCACAGTCTGGCACTGGCCGGAGAACTGCCTTTCATCAGTCAGATTGAAAAATTCTTTCACAGATACACACCACAAACTCTGAGAACACATACAGCGCACAGTTTAGTTATAGAGATTTTTCTTTGTAGTCAAGGTGCGACGTCAAACCCGTAAAAAATTGCAAATTTATTGAAAAAACTAACAATTTTCGAGGTAAGTTTATAAGAAACACAAAGCCTCAACTCCAAGCAATTGCAGACATATGAAGTTTATGGTTATTCAATGAAATCTATTATGATCGAAAGCATTTCCCAGCATCTCCCACAGAGACTTACACAGATTACGTAACGTTCATGCCCAATGAAAGTTTGAAAAACAAAATTATTTAATTAATTCCTTGTACAATTAATATAGAATGCGAAGTCCCTCGGCAGCAGTTTCGGCAATGCAAAGGACTTGTCTGATATAATGACTGGCAGCTTCAGGGTGCAACTCATCAACATGGGCACTCGCGCTGCCGCCTGTAAGTATGCCACAAAAGTCTCGAGTGCCAAGTTTCGTCTGTATACCCTGTACCCATGCAAATGTATATAAAGTAGTATAATAATGGCTTGGTGAAAATGTATGTAACCGACAGGGGAAAACATCTCTGACCGCGTATAGTATTTGCATTCTTTGTTAGCAGCAATGTCGAATTGAGGCTTATCTCAAAACATCGATAGCTCCGTCCGTCTGCTTGAAATCGATAAGTATCGACTTTTAATTTGGTCGATCAAACAATAGCTAGATACACCAAATATATTTCACTTCTTGGACAACTCCCTCGTCTCCCCCACACAAAAAAAATATACATTTTGGGACGCCTGAACTTTATTATATATATATAATTGGGAGTCAGATTTAAGCACCAAAATTTCCTTAAAGATTTTTTTTTATTTTTTATTATTATTATTAAGTGTAGAACCTGTACAATCATAATTTAGTAACTTAACAACACATGGATGGAAAATGTAATTTAGAGCCGAACCCCATAACGCAGTATGAGGATCTTAACCTTAAAGATTTGATTGCAAACATGCAAGTTATTTAAAAATCTATTTCCTTAAGTATGAGCAAAGCCTATATATCTTTGCATACACATATCAATAAAAAAAAAAGTAAGTTTAAAGGCTAGAAACGACAGCTCGGCGCTGGGTACAGGGTATCTGAAAGTCTGGCATACCCAACTAGAGCACCTTTACTTGTTTATTTATTACAGTTCAGGCAAAACTGAGAGCCCTTCATGAATACCATGTACGCCTCTTGCACAACGTCTTACCTGCGCCCTCTGGCGTCGATATTGCTAACAATATCAAATACTTTTCTCAAACTCTACTAAGTAAGTTCCCCAAATACGGAATCCTCGCTGTCGTATTAACAATCTTCTATCATTTGCAGCTGTCCTTAAAGATGTGCGCACCTCTCCGCATGAGCTTATCTGCGATCCTCTCGAAGATCCCACACGCATGTCCGCCTACCCAAATCTCGAATATGGCAATCTCTATAATGCCCTAACCATGCTCATTGATGTGGCACCCTGTATACAGTATGGCCAAATCGGTGAGTCTTCAAAATATGAATACCGTACAAATGACTAATATTTCTTAATATTTATAGTTTTCGGCAAAGCTTTGCTACAGTGTCTAAGCTGCATATTACCCTTTCTCGATAAGGATCTTATTGATAATCTACCCTATCTAGTTAGCTCTACTATATCAGTACTACCGCCAGCCTTGCATCAGGATATTGTCAATGCACTGTGCTACTATATCTTACCCTTTACCATAAGTATGTTTAGACTTAAGAATTCTAATGGCTTAGTCTAATACTGTTTAACCACATATGCTAGCACGTCGCAGCGCCGATGAGCAGGAATGCCAAGCCTGCCAGTCTGTCTCCTCTGTCATCATGATGGTATTGCAATACTCGAAAAATCCAGGTAGGTTGGCTTGGTATATGTAATAGATGCTTATTAAATTGACCTCATCTCTCAGCACATCACTGTCAACTACTGGAGTGCCTGATGACTCTGAAGCATAATGTGGTCAAGGACATACTCTGCGTGGTGGCCTATGGCACTGCTGTTTCACGTTCCTCCGCTGCCAAGCTGCTCTTCTACTACTGGCCTGCATTTGATCCCAATCTTTTCGATCGCAAGGTTCTGCTCTCTAAACTTACCAGTGAGTAAAAAAGTATTACCATCTTATAGATAACTGATTACTTATATTTACTACACTTATACAAGACAAAGAAAGTTATAGATTAGGCTATCGTTTAAATGAAAAATTAGAATTCAAAGCAGAAACCCCTTCGGTTCAAATTCGATTACTTACGAAAGTTTCTTTATCTTCTTTTAATCGGACTTTAAATTTATTAATAGATAATGCATTAGTTAATTTCTAGATTTTTTCGCCGATATTATGGATTGAATATATAGTCCAAGGTTTTATTGTCGAAAGTTTAAACTTCTATCGAATTTAATTTTAATTAGTTTTTAAAATCTATCTATCGGCTATCCCCTCGAATAGATGACTTGCTACCATTCACCTGTCAACGCGATCAATGCCCCAATGCTGGCAATGCCGAGGCCGCCAAGGTATGCTACGATCATAGCATTTGCATCACCTATGCACAGGACTGTCCGCCGCCATTGTATCTGTGCATCGAGTGCGCCAACGAGATACATCGGGAGCACGCGAACCTGGAGTTTGGCGATATACTGCATCCCATGCAACAGGTGTCCATGGTGTGCGAGAATAAAAACTGTCGTTCCAACGAGAAGTCCGCCTTCTCCATATGCTTCTCGACCGAATGCGCCGCCTTCAACGGCAATCATCCCATTCGCTATTGCGCCCAGTGCCACAGCAATCGTCATAACTCCCGTCGCGGTGGGGATCATGTGGTGCATCGCAGCCTGCAGCCAGCCTGGCAGATGGACCCGGAGATGCAAATGCATATGGTCGAGTCGGTTGTCAGTCTACTGCGAGAGGCCAAGCCTCTGAACTTTGAGCCTGGCAAGGAGTCCCCAGCGGAGACGAAGAAAAACGGCGCTGCCCTCACACCGGACAACATTTCTCTCGAGGAGCGTCAGATGCTGGGCCGCTATGGCATTTGGTTGCTGGTAGGACGCTGCACTCCCACCGTCGATACACCAGTCGAGGTGCTGGGGCGCATCCTAAGCATGCTCTTTCACTGGTTCCATGTCACGGCCTATTCCTACGATGGTAAATGCACAACAAGGCGATCGGCCCACAGTCCAGCTAATTGTTATCTTTTATTCCCAGCTGCTGGACAGATTGAGAGCACCATAGAGAAGCTGAAAATGGATCACGTCTGCGACTGGCTAAAGGAGATTTGTCGCATACACTACAACGTGTTCATCTCCTGTCTGCTGCCGCATCCGCCAGAGTACGCTCGGGTGGGTGGTCACTGGGAAACGCTCGCCTCACGCACCAGCCACCTGAAGGAGGGTCTGCAGCGGCTGATCTGCCTGGTGCCCTACGAAGTGATCACCTCGGAGATATGGGACTATGTGATGCCGCACTGGATGGAGGCAATTACCAATGATGTGGCCGAAAAGGAGCTAAACGAGCTTAAAATTGTGCTCAGCAAAATACTCGATCCGGAAATGTCACCGCTCGGCTTCGATGCCAAGACCATGTACAACTTTGTGGCCATACGATTCGAGAAGACAACGGCCAAGGTGCAGCAGCAGGCGCTCCACTGGCTGCAGATTCTCACAAAGCTGGAAATACTCATACCGCTCGTACAGCTCTTTGCCATGTTCGGCGACGGGGTGCGCATCATGAAATACGGCATACAGCACGAGCTAATGCGGGAGAAGGAGAAGGAAAAGGAGCCGCAGACTCAACAACAGACAAAAGCGCCCAAGACACCGTGCAAGGAGAGCAAGGCCGAAATGGCCAATCCACCCAGGCGCAGCTCCATTTGTACGTATCCAAGGTCAGACTTCCGTGTGACAAATTCAACTGAATTTTCATTCACTCTTAGCGCCCGTTGTGGAGGATGACTCTGGCAATACATCGGCAATATCGGACGATGAGGCGCCCACCAACCGGCACACGGAGTTTTCCACAGATGCCGAGCACAATCTAACCTGCTGCATACTCATGCTGGACATTCTGCTCAAGCAAATGGAGCTGCAGGACGTGGAGCAGCACATGGGCATACACACCAGCGTGTGCGAAAATGTCTCTCGCCTCATCAAGTGCATGGTAACTGCGGCCCGGGTGGGTCTAAGTAGTCACGTCTGTGCATTAAAGGCAAGTTATGCAGGACAGCAGTCACAGGTAGCATAATCTGACAGCATCTCATACGCTTACAGGTGGCGGAGTGTGCCTACTGCGAGGCCTCCACTATGTGGCATCAGCTGTCGACCAAGCTGGTTGAGTTTATGGCCCCACTGCATCCTGTTAGACCACCCGATGTAGGTTTCACACATATTCCTTATATATATACCTAATAAACGGCTGAAATCTCTCGACAACGTAGGTGCCAATTGAGGATATCATTGAAGAGGAAAAGTCGTCACGCAAATCGCCGCCGGAATCCGACAAAGAGAAATCTCGGGATCGTGATGTTTCGCTCTCCATGGCACCGTTGCCCATTCCGCTGGGTCCACTCGGAGGCTTTGCAGGTAAGTCTGGCTCTCTCCAAGCCCTATTCAGTTGTTTTGCAAAATTCGATTGTAAACTACCTCTCGAAAAGACTTCAAAGTTGTATGCCTAATACAAACCCAAACGCCCTCTTATAAATACTTGTAACTAACCACCGTAAAAGTAATCCAGACAAAGTCACTCAACTTGTAGCTAAAACGTAGACTGTACATCATTGCCTGGACTATATGCAGGCGAATTAATGGTATGACGTCTTTGTAAGCGTCTTTGTAAACAAATTGCTTAGTCTAAAACCCACGTTTAAAGCGCATTCAAACCGAGTTTTCAACCTAGAAACCTGCACTTGTTATGCTCTGTATACAGTTTTAACGTACCTAAAACCCACCCCCGATTAAAACGATCAAAAACTATTAAACAAAGTCGAGATTAATACTTAACTTGAAACACTTTCCATTGAGAACGATGCAAACAACAGAGATCGTTATTAAATCTATAAAACGCATAAATTCTTATGGTTATACTTTTGAAACATTTTCCATTCTACTTATTTTGGCTTTTATTTATCTATCTAACTTGCAATCTCTATCTACATAAATATGTATATCTTTCTCTCTCTCTCTCTATCTCTAACATATACTGCGCGTCCACTGTATAAAAATTACTAACGCTCGCTGTCTCGCTCGCACACGCACTTTTCTCGCGCGTATCAACCGTCTGTCTATCTCTGTCACACACTGTCGCTCTGTCGAAACTCTCGGTCCATATATGATGAATTATTAACTTGCTCTTTTAAACAATAACAAACGTCAACTACTCATCAAAAATACTAAAAACTAAAATTTACAATCTATCAATCATTATCAGATATCTTTAAGCTAGATCAATTCTTTTCAGACGATGGAAAAATTATTATAATGGCAGGTGATGCACCAACAGCAAATTTATCATTTGTTAAAAAGAAAAAAAAAATAACACACACACAAAACAACAAACACAAATTAAAATAATCAACTATTTGCATTACATTACTTACATTGTTAATCAGTTAAAATAACATTTCGTTACAATTGAAATACATTTGAGTACTTTATTCACGAAAACAAGAAATACTCTACCAAATACTCTACCCAATACTCTACTCAATACTCTACCCAATACTCTACCAAATGCTCTACCCAATACTCTACTCAATACTCTACCCAATACTCTACCCAATACTCTACCAAATGCTCTACCCAATACTCTACTCAATACTCTATGCAATACTCTACCCAATACTCTACCAAATACTCTACAAAATACTTTACCCGAAACATTCCACCCTCCAACATACAGTTAACAATTGCACTTGCTCCATTTTCCCAAATAAGAAACACTTCTATCCAAGAATGTCTGTTTAGCTTTCTAGCATTTAATTTAGCATACAAGCTTTTAAATACATATTAGATGATCTTTAAAGTAGTACCCCAAACAGCCTACTATCTTTCGGTTCGGTAAAATTCTTCACACAAATGCGACTTACACTACACAGATAAATACTAAGTCCACAAAACAAATGCCACACCCAGCGTAGCCGTCAATGCCTTAAACAAATTTTGATGATCTATCATTTTGAAGAATATATTCTTTAGGAGTTTTCTCCGTAGAATGTGTGCACATGTGTGTCCAGTTTGCGAAAAATATTAAAAAAAAAAAAAACTTTTAAAGAAATTTGAATTGAATTTAATTTTAAAAACTGCCTGAAAATTTTTAAATTAATCTGCACACACATCGGCATAGACCCCAATTGGAAATTGAAAAAAAGTTCAAAGCTTGCATGCAATCTTTTATCAGCGAATTCCCAAATTGTATCGTGTGAACCATGAGAAATGGAAAGCATTCTTAAGATTTATACTTTTAGTGTATGTACTCTTGGATGCATGCCCGAATTAGTGAATGCAATGAGTTACCTTGACCACTTAAATAAATTCAATTTCATTTCTAGCAGAGTTGTGCAATTGACGCCCGCATCCAAATACAAACGATTAATAATCCCAAATATATATTCTCTTTATCAAGGTCCCATGCCCGTGGCCGTGCCCCAACCAGAGCCGCACTCGGTGGGCGGCGTGCTCGTCCATATGCCCCACGTTTGTTCCGTATGTATTTCGCAGTATAATGATAAGTATTAGCAAATCTTATATCTCACGTTCTTTGGTTAACACCCTTAAATGGCGAATAATATCGAACTTGAAAGTTTTTATATATATTTACCATACACCACAAAACAAATAATAATAACAAGAATAAGACAAGCAAAATAAACTGAAAATATTATCCGTTTTTGTAGGTATTTTAAAAGAACAACACACCGTATACTTTTTAAACATACTATAAATATATTTATGAATTCATTTTTATACAGCAAATTAACAATACTTATTTAACGTGAAGATTCAGTTTGATTTAAAACAAACATTTATGCATTTTCATTTAACATACAATCGAATTTACGAATTTATCATTTACGAAAGCCAAAACTGATCAACAATTATACAAAACTTTTCATTTCTACATATATTTTTTATAGAATAACGAAAATGGGCATTCAGTTGATATTAATGAATTGAGAAAAGTTCACGCCACAGACGAGGTACTTTGTGCATTCATTAACAAAACCCAAAGCAAAATTTAAATCAAGCATACAATATTTTTAATATTAGTTGTATAATTTGGCTAATTACAAACCCTCCTCCATACAATTCGATATTTGTACATTTCTATTTTCTATACATTTTATTTATGTCAAAAAAAAAAAAACAAAAACGTGTGCTCTTCATGTTAAGTGTATATAAATTGTACAGAGTACTTATTCCTTTTACTTTCATTACGAAAAATTCTACCTAAATTATTTACAATTTTCTTTTTACATACATAAGTCGATAAAGAAAAAAAGAAAAATCGAGAAGCTTTTCTATGCATAGATAATTCATTTTGATGAATTTGATGAATTTGGCTTTTCCAGCTTAAATACACTGTGTGCATTTTATTAAAATAAAAAAAGTAATTACCTTCATATCATATACAAAACAAATTACGTATATGTATGTCAGTTTTTGTAAAGTTTATTAGAACATGTAGTTTTAGGTGAAATATTTCAAGCAGAACAGAAATTCAATAAAGTGGACAATATTGAAGCTGAATTGCTCAATTTAAAGAATAACTAACATTTGTATCATCCGATTTACAAAAGTTAAATAATTTATTTTTAGTTTATCTGCTGCAGCAAGTTTTTTAAATATAGTTGTCTAGTATTCTTTTTGTTGCATTAGGTGTTTAGGCCAAAGAATTTTAACTTTCAATGTTCATAGTCGATTTCAACAATTTCTTAAATGTGTTTCGTATATCTAGATTACATAATTAGAAACATATTTTTACATGTTTTATAGGTTTAAAAAAAATGAATTTTTAGAATATGTTTTTCAAGTTTCTTTCCACTCCCGTGTCTCAAAGTATCTTGTATGTGTGTGAATATAAATTACAAAATACAGCAAACGGAAAAAGCGTGTACGCTAATTTGAAATAAATGTACATTTTATTTAAATAAATCTCAAAAATTTCTTTATTCGTTTATAACATGTATATATATTTACGTTTATTTCTACAACTTTTTCACGTACTTCAAATGTTGCCTTTGGTTTTCAATCAATGTTCAATAGCATGTTCCGTGTACAAGCACCATCACAGTTCCTTTGTACCTACACCAAGCAGTTGGCCAATATATGAAATACTATTAATGCACAAATACCCTTACAATTTTATGCAGTATTACATGTTATTGTGTAAATCATTTATGTAAATTATAGCATTGTTTTTAAGCGATACTAAAACAAAAAAAAAAAACAAAAAAATAATGGATGTGTAAGTTTAAGCGAGCAACGTTTATCTGTGTACATGTGTACTCTTATGTGATGATTGTAATCTATCGTACAGCCACTTAATATGAAATACCCTGTAAATATGTAAACTACTTTGTACAGATGTGTCACATGTGGAAGAGAGCCTTCATCTAAATGTTGAAATCATTGCTATCTAATGCAGATCATGACGGCCACCGTAGAAACAGTTTCAGAGCAACTGGACTTGGCTTCCTTCCTGCCCACTGACAGGGCTATAGCACGATCCATAACACTGTCCGATGCGGATGTGGGCAGCGCCAATGTCAGCGTCACCAAGGCATCCGTTATGGGTGAGAATGGTGCCAATGGCAGCACAGCCGGCGGCGGCGAGAATGGCAGCGGCTCCGAGGACGACGAGGAGGAAGAGGACAGTGATGATTTCTGGCACACATCGGTGGGCAAGTTTAAGTTTACGCTGGATCAGCTACCCCAACCGTTGCAGTACATACACCAGTTGCTCACGGTGCGTATGTGTAATCAGTATGTATAGATACACAAGCTGGTATTGCCCGGCCTTGCTCGGTCATAGGTTTTAGCTTAACTCCGAAGCTAAAGATGAATGTGTAAAGCTCATCGAATATAGAGCCAAAAGATGGATGGAATCTACATTTGCGAGTGTAACATACCAAAACTTCGTTTTAGTTTTCCAGCAGAAGATTAAAGATCAGATCAGATCCATCCAAAACTAACTTTGCCTAGGCAAAGTGGAAAGTATATTTTTTGTATGTATATAAAACTTATTATTTCTGCAGGAAATACCCACCATTAAGAAACCGGAGATTCTTTATTATGTGTTGCAATGCCTGAAGACGATGGCGCTGCACGGCGATGCCTTGGCCAAGGCCGCCAAGGAGCAGCGCGGCTTCTTCATATGGTGCCAGGAGAATTTGTTAATCAAAAAGTGAGTAAAGAGTTACCGAGAATATTCAAGTGAAATTTAATAAACACGTCTAATTTGTAGCCTGTGGGAGCTGTGCAACGCGGAGCACTCACACATCTGTCAGGTGGGCGTGCCGCTGCTGCTGCACTGCATCACATTGCCGCTGGGCTCGGACGTTTTCTGGCGCGTGGTGCAGGAGGCCTTCCACGATGCCGATTGGCGTGTCCGCTTCACAGCAGTGGAACGAGTAACCGTAATTACACGTTTTATGGATTCGACACCGCTGCGCTCCGAGGTGGGCCTCCAAACGGCAATGGCCACCGCCTTCTGTCATCTAATCGCCAGCATGGATGACATCAATGTATATGTGGCGCAGCGGGCGACTCTCTACATCGGAACCATACATGATACGGCAATACGGTCACTGCTCTTCTGCTTGGAGTCGCAATTCGATCTGTTTATTGTCGACCGACCCGTGGTTCTGCAGTCGGTATATCAGCTGCACAATTCCCTATCCGATCGCAAGTTGCTCGGCTGGGACTTCTTTCTCAATCGCTTCGATACGCTCTTCGTGGAGGCGCAAATCAATCTGGAAAAGTGCGGAGACATTTCCTATCTGCGAGACTTGCGCAACTCTGACAACGGCAGCGAGGCGCTCTCTGCCAAAATACTGAAAGCCAGAGAGGCACTGAGCCAGTCGGACACCAGCGGCAGCATGGCCAAGACCCTAAGCGCCTCCTTCGGCACCAAGTGGCCCTACAAAAGAACAATGTCTGCTCCAGCCAGCATGGCACCCCGCCAGGACTCCAAATTCGGTAAGCAGCCATTGAGTGTGTGCGGAAAAGTGCTTGAAAATTACCATACATTTGCAGTACCTGAAAAGGAGAAAATCTACAGTCGGCAGGTGTCGGCACCCATACTCAAGCGGAAGACTTCGCGCTTCGGATTGGGTCAGTTCCTAGGCAGTAGTAGTGGCAACCAAAATACCAGTACAGCTACTCATAGTGTGGCCACAACTAGTATTACATTGCATACACGATCTAAACCGCCGCCGCCATGTCCCGTACACCATTCCCAACACACGGCCTTTCCCTATCAACCCACACAACATCAACACCCACACACACACGCACACCCACATCCACACCCACACGCACACCCTTCACAACACCATCCGCATTCACATCCCCAGTACGCTGGTAGTAGTGCACAAGTAGCTACGTTTGCCTCGGCTCATAGTCAAAGTCACCAGTATTTAGTGCATTGTGTACCGCCTAGTCATCATAGTCCAATGCCCACGCTGCAGGAGGCGGAGACATTGCTGCGCGCCCAGGCTGCCCAGCAAACAGCCTCCGTACAGTCGAACATGGCGTCCACGCAGCAAGAGGGCGCAGTACAGTCGCGTCCCATACAGACTACAGTGGTGGCAACGACAAGCGGCACGGCAACGTCGGGTAGTTCCTCGGTGGGCGCCGCTAGTGGCCACGCGTTTGCCACCTCCTTTCACTCCCATTTCCAAAAGCATCCTTCGGCGCCGAACTTGCTGCCGCTGCAGCCACCGGTGGCCGCGCCCAGTCCCAGTCCCTCGGCACTGGCCTATCCCATGCATTGCACTTGTGATGTCGCTCCGCATCCGGGTGCCAACATAGCGGGCACCACGGGCAGCACCACGGTCAATCCAGGTAGGTTGTAGAGCATGTGTGTTCGCGTATCCAACCAAAAACTTTAGATGTCTTTGTTCTCTTCCCTATTTTCTTTCCCAAATGGTGTGAGCTATATGTTCAATGTACATTGTATAGTTCACAAAAAGCTATGAAATCGCAATCTAAAAATTGTATTTCAATCTAGAAGCAATTTGTGCAATAAATATACCTCCGTATGAATCAATGGATCACTCCATCTTACTAACTAATAAATAATAACCATTCATATTTCCAGACACTTTTGTGAATAATATAATATAAACGCTGGCTTGCCAGCGTTTCCCATTTTACTTTCATCTCTCGCCTATATTCAGATATCTTCTGGTCTCAAAACATTCAGAATGGGACTTCTTCATCATTTTTACTTTCTATTTCCGCATGTTGCTAAAGTTTTTCTATAAAATATTTGTTTCTTGTTTTATATTCAAATCGACTTGTACTTAGAACCCGAAAAGTGATAGTGTGCATGGGGAATACCTAAAAGTAGGTTATGAAAAACGTAACAAAATGGGAAATATAAATCATATTCAAGCATTTCAAACAATAAAGAGCGACTATCTTATGAGTTCTTAAAATTACTTAGCTTGGTAAGATACATATCATAAAATAAGATAATGTTAATCATACAAGAATTTAAATTTCCTATTAATGTTATATGTCCTTTGACAGTTTAACGATATAGTAGTCCGATCCGTAACGTTCTAACATAGGTATACAGACAGTTGCAACAGAAAGTCGAACAAAGTTTCGCGACGATAGCTTTAATATTGAAAAACGATCGACCCGGCTTCAAAACGGATCAAGAATATATTCTTTATGTTGTCGGAGATGTTTTCTTCTCCTATTCATATTTAAAGGACCTAACAGCCTTAACACTTCCCTCATGCAATAAACTGATCTCCTCTCCCGCATAAAACTATTGAATTAAAAAAGATTTTAATAATTTATGATGGTTATAACTTTTTCGAGGAGTATTTAGGAACAACATATTAATATAACCTAATAATAAGAATGATTTTTATTAATATTACGAAAAAATAACTTTGTTTTAATTTACAAGACAACTTTTTATTTGGAATGTGTAGGTGTGTGTGTGTACTCGTTAATTGTTAACTTTGTTTTTTAGCAAATCCATGTTGACAAATGTGTGTAACTTAGTTTTTTTCACACAAAACAAAATCATTTTAAGTGTACCCTTCCGAACTGGTATGTATGCTCTCAAGAACTATTGTAAACGTCTTCTCCTACACATATTTCCAACTGAAAAGAAACACAAAAACACAAACCGAACAAATCAAATTCGAATTGTGCTCTGCTCCACAAACACTTGTGTATATATCTAATCGTACATACACACTATATTGTTAATATACCAATTTCAATCTATATGTACGATTGGCATGTGGGTGTAAAAAAAAAAAAAACAAAAAAAAAACCAAAAATTCAATTTGAAATCGATGTTTATTTCCCTATGCATGTGTGCGCAATGCATTGAAACTAATATGTTGATTTATTACATTCCGTTTAGATGGACATATCCACTCGCTGGGCGGACTCAACGATGAGAATCTTATTGGCTTGCTTAGCCGCATTACGGAGCTGGAGGAATCGGATCGAGAGACAATTCATTTGCTCGTATTTATGCTGATGCAGTTCATGTCGCGCACGGATCAAGCCTTTCCAACGGAGGACAAGCCCATGACGAGAACACAAAATATTGTTTTGAAACATTTGTTCTTACTTTTGGGACACAATCAGATAGACAAGACCTTCCATACCACGCCCGAGTCGTTGCGGTGAGTTGTTTGCTTGAATTGAATTTCAATGGCAGATATTGCAACTATTAAGTACTTGCAGGGTTTCAGCCGTGTTCAATGCATTTTTGGCCAATTTAGCGCAAGTCCTGGATCAAAATCATTTGATTGGAGGTCTTATATTGCCGTCTGTCATGCAAATCATTCTGTATGCACCGAATCCGACAAACACTCCGGGCGAATCGTATCAGAATATTGTCTTCAACTATTCCCTGTGGCATCTGGAGCAGTATCCGCGCCGCAATTGGCTTTTCACGCTGCTGGTCGTCCTCTATAAGTACTCGTATACACAGCCACCGCTCAGTGGATATGTGATCTCCGCCATTCGCATGATTATGAACAGCCTGCGTGGCCACTTCCATCAGTGCCGGCGCATTCCCACCACCACCATACTGGATATACAGACTAGCGTTGGCGGAACAGCACGATCGCGTGACGTTAGCCAGCCCTCGTTGGGCACAGATCCCGATGACAAGGAGGCCAGCCCACCGGCCAGCCCCATGTTCCCATCCGAAGGCACCAGCGCTGCCTCCAAGAGCAAAGCTCAAAATGTTGCCTTTACACCCAAACTGCAGCATGCTTTTCGCAAGTACAACGACTCCAGCTTGGATGCGGATGAAACCGAATCCGAACTGGTGGCCATACCCGAAAGTGATCTCTCCGATAGCACACTACATGGCAGCAGTGCGCCGGTAGGTTTCTGTGCTGTCCAAACTCCGGGCTATATAACATCTGCTTGGTTTTCTAGGGCTCCTTCGATGACACAGTCCACTTTGAAGATGTCATGCCGTCGAAAACAGAATCACTGCGGAATCGTCGCGCCATGGACTACTCCGAGGAAGTAAACATATCAGACTCTCTTTGTATTCATGTGTCTTAACATTTTATATTAAACCATATACAGAAATCGACCAAATCGCTGAAATCGATGATCACCACGAAAACTGGGGACACCTACTCCACAAAAATCAAGCCTAGCAGAGAATCCGTCAGCACCACCGTGGTGACGACCCATACGCGTCACAGCCTGCAGGAGGGCGTGCGCATGATTGTGACTCCTCTGGTGGGCTCGGAAACGACGGAGACAGCGATTGTTAGCCCGCCCGTGGATGTGCATCGTGCGGTTACCGTGCGCAACAAGTCGCTGGAGAACGCAGCTGCCTCCACATCCAAAATGTTTGCGGCCATAGCGACCAATCATCTCAAGGCGCTGGGCGCTCTACAGGACGTGCCCACATCCAGCGGCAGTAAGCCCAGCTCCAGTAATGGCAACGGCAGTCGCTCCACAAATGGTAGCAGTGGCGCTCCAGCGCCCGCTCCATCAGTCGCTGCCAAGCCCATTGGACGCCATAAGACCATTGTGGAGTGCAGCGCCGGCACGTCCAGTTCCTCGGCGGAGGATTCGCGACAAAAGAAGTCGCAGACTAGGTCGCTGAGGCACAGCGACAAGGCGTATGGCTCGCCAGATTCGCCGCTTTCCAAGATGAACGTGATGCCGAATCCCCGTGACGAGCTGGACGCAGGTCTATTGCCTCCTTCCAAGAGCATTGCCGCTCTCGAGATACCAACACCTGAGCGGCTCCTGCCTATTGGCACACATGACACGGTTGCCACCTTGGTGGAGCGCATGCGGGACGGTCTCAATCTGCCGGACATCAGTCATCTAAAGCAGGACAGCTTAGATGTGTCGGAGAGCACCAAGGACGATGTCACGCCCAGCAGTCGCAACAACTCGCCGCGGCGCCTCATTAAGCAGGTGGCGCTCGAGTCACCACCCAACCCGAATGCACCGATTGCTACTCCTTCTACTACACAGTCCCAACCACAGCCGCCATTGCAGTCGCATCCTCCGCAGGACCTTCACACATCCATTTTAAAGAATGTCACACAGGATCTAAAGCAACAGCCTAGTGAGCGACAGCCGAACCTGCCTGGCACATCGGCCACTTCCCATAGCATCAAGCGTCCCAGGCAGAAGCTGGCGCCCTTCAACGTGGACACCAATGCCATACCAGATATACGCTCGCGCTTCGCCGGCTCCTGGCCGCCACCGCCATTTCAGCCAGCCGAGGAACCCGGTGAAGAAGGCGAACATACACCCGAAATCGCAAATGGACACACGACACACACCTCAGCTCATGCGGAGCGTGGGGTAAGTAAATACTCTGAATTCTCCGATTTACATATATAAAACTGCAAAATTGCATTAAGCAGTTTTTTTTAAATTCACCAACATTAGTGGAAAATGGATGAAAAACTATTATTTGAAGTACAGTTTATTTTACTGTGAAACCCATTGTAAATTCTTAAAATATAGTACAAAGTTTTTGTGCAGAAGAAAGTATTTCCCACTCCATTAAATATGTATGTATGTATATATATTCTTGACCCGTCCGTTCGTCTAGAGACGCTAGAGATATTAAATTTGAAAGATAGATATTTACGCAGAACGATTTTATCTTTTTTAAATATTTCCACCATTTTCCCGATATCGATTACTATCGATTTTCAAACATGGCTTTTAAGTATATCCCGGAGATTATGGGAACTAGAAATACAACATCCAATGACTGACTCTTATAGTATTCACATATCTAGAATATTTTACTTTTTGCTTTCAAATTACATAAAAAACTCAATAACATACCGGTTACAGGGTATCTGTTAGTTGGGTATCTTTCGAGTAATTCGGACATGTGATGAAATGTATTGAATCTCTTATCTTATACACAGAGCTCTCGACGCGTCGGCAACTATACCATTGTGGAACGCTGCTCTGATTGCGGCGCAGTTATCGAGGAGTACACGGATGAGGAGATTGGCATATTCATTGTAATCCTGGGCACCTTTATTCACCGCGAGCCGGCAATGGCAGCGCCATTTCTGCCTGAGGTGCTGACCATGACATCGCGGTGAGTAGGATTGGGAAAACTTGCTCTATTGCTGAGTAAACTGAACTATTTCAGGATTTGTCTGAGTGGCACGCATGCCTGGCAGGGCGAGAACGGGCTGCCCTTGGCGAGCAGTGCCCAGGCCGTGGCACTGCAGTTCATACGCTGTGTTCTGCATCAGCTGGCCCCCAATGGAATCTTTCTGCAGGTGTTCCAGACCCAAATGAAAAGTGAGTTGGCAAGCCAATTTGAACGATGAATTAAGTACTATTTCTCTGGCTTGCAGTTAAAATACGGCACAACCATTTCCGCAGCATTGCCAAGGCGCTGCAAGACTTCCAGGATTTGAACGCAACCAGTCCCATTTATATGGTCTGCGAGTCGCTGACCTCAAAGAAGGCGCTGCCCATCGATCAGCTGCCCATCATCTTCCGGAACATGGCCGAGTATCTGCAGTGTTTGCCCGCCGAGGCGGGTGTGGGCCTGGCCGTCTGGTCACAGGCCATGCAGGCCATGGAATCATTGCTGCGTCAGGTCATTGTCATCATGCCCAGCATAAGCAATTGCGAGTATATGCTGGAGCTCATTGTGGCCACTTTACGCTTGAATTGCGTGCCCAAGACGCTTTTGGATCCGTACTCCAAGATAATGGCCCACTGTGTGCAGTACACCAACTTGGAATACCAGACGCTCTACGATCTGTGCACGCTCAACACACGCTCCTTCAACAAGGACCGCGACAAGAACTTACTTTGCCGACAAATGATCTTTGAGTTTGTCCAGGCGCTCAAGTTCAAGTCGAATATACCCGATCATAATCTGCTTATGATCATTGGATTTGTGCTGCTAGATGCGGGCGGCAGTTTACCACCAGGTGCATTGCCTGGATTGCCAGAAGCAGCGCCCGTGCTGACCACAAATGCTGCTGACTGTTTTAGGCAGTACATTAACGATGTCATTGATTTTCTGGCCGATTTCCACACGCTCAGCAAGATCAAGGTAAGTCCTGAGGTGCATACGGGCTCTACTAGATGACTAAACCATGTAATTCTGCAGAACTTCAAGAACGGCCAGTCAAGCAGTGGCCTAGGTGAGGACACCTTGGGTGGCGTCCTTAAAGGCGCTGTGGCCCAATATCTGGCACTCGAGATGTCCCGTGGCAGCTCCCGCGATCACAAGGCAGTCTCGCGCTATCTACCCTGGCTAAACAATGCTCCGTCGTCGTTGCAGCAGGGGTGAATAAAGCGTTGTCTTATTTTTTTATTACTATTTATATTAATATTATTAACATTATTATTATTATTATTATTATTATTGCTATTATTATTTTTATTATATTATTATAATTATTATTATTTATGTTGTCATGACATTACCGATTGCCTTTCTTTCAGTCCCAAAGAATTCACGGAATGTGTGGGTCATATGCGTCTGCTCTCGTGGCTGCTGCTGGGCTCACTTACCCATATGGCGTTGGTGCAGCGACGCCAAGAGACGCATACGCTGCCACCAGTGCTGCCTCCAAATATAGCGCCCGGACAGGGTCTACCTCCGATGGCTAGTGTGCATTACCAGCATCAAGGAGTCACGTACTCACAGCCTGTGCCGCAGGAGGCATCCTGTCACATAGCTGATCACATACAGGTGATTTTTGCGGGCTTTGCCGAGCAGTCAAAGACTTCGGTGTTGCACATGTCGTCGCTTTTTCACGCATTCACGCTTTGCCAACTGTGGACCGTCTACTTGGAGCAGATGGCGCATAACACCAACAGCAATGCTGAAGGCAGCACATTGGGCGTGCTCTTTGAATTTTGGACCAAGGTAACACCAAGCATACTGCAACTGGTTTCGCATGCCAAGCCTGCCAACAAGGAGCCGCATGCACAGGCTGGCATCGACTTTCAAGCTCAGAATGCCAACTCAAAGCTATCGGAAATGGTCAACTTACACTTCCTTAGCCTACTGGAAGCACTGAAGGAAACCAACTCCACGGTGCTGGGCAAATTGCTGCCCATGTGGAGCACTGTGCTCTCTTCGCAGACACAGCTATCGGACACGCTTCATGTGCGACTGCAAAATGTTCGCGACTATGCGCCAAACTTTGAAGAACAGCAGACGCATAAATCGGAATCGCTGCTCAAGTGGTTACAGCGTTTGCAATTTAAAATGGGCCAAATAGAGCTACAAGCCTCAACGGCTACACAGTTTTACTCGATTTAAATTTTAAGCTATCTAAAGGGCTTGTTTAGCCAACATTTATGTGTAGTCCGTCATAGCGTATACCTTAACTACATGGATACTGGACCCTATATAATGCTAGCACCTATGTCTTAGAGAGCGTTGATTAATTGTTGGACATTCACGTACGAAAAACGTTTGATAGCTGTTTAAAAAAGATATATTAAATACATTATACGCAGAATTAAATATAAAAACTGTTTAGATCACACATTTCTTTCAATTTGAAAAATTATGAACTATCATAAGATTAAGTAGATGCTAATGATTGACCTTAACTAGCTTAAATGCTCACTTATAAACTGCGTAACTAACGCCACCTGAGGCTTTCTCTAATATCGTTGGATCATGCACTTCGTTTTGTTCGCCAGTACGTTGCCGGCCTTCAATGAGATAATCCACCTGCGGATCGCGGTATATGTTAAATGACGACTTGGTCTTCAGCACGGATTCATCGGGTAAACGGATGCTATTGACTGTTCCAGTTTGCCTGGCCAGACGCTCTTCAGCCTGCTGTATGCGTAACTCCTTTAAGCAATAGATACGATTAGACATAACTAATTGTATTAACATATTCCAGCATTTACCTTGACTTTCTGCATATAATCGACCTGAAGGCTGGCAGATTCGGCTAGCGGCACCAGCTGGGTCTCCTTGTGTTGTATGAGTGGCGGCGTTGCGGCGGTGATCTCCCAATGTTTGCCCTTCTTACGTATGCGCTCCTTCGCAGGATCGTGCACATTTGATATTGTAGTGCGAAAAGGTCTGAACTTTTCACGAGCCGCTGCCGAAACTGGCAATTCGGTTTTCTCTATGAGATACAGTGCATGTTGTTCCAACGTAGTTCCCGGAGGATGCTTATCAACCAATGTGGCTGCATCAATTTCTATTATTTCAGCTGGGATCGTTTTGCTGCAGTCTTGCCCGCTAAAACTGCTTGATGCGCTTTGATCGGTCAGCGTTGAATCTAATGAATTGGGCGTTTGTCTAAACGACGCTATGTCAGCCACATCTTCAGGCGTGATAAGTGTGGCGGGCGGCGGTAGCACTTTTACCTGGCGCTGGTGCATTGTGCCTTGTGCGATTACACGTAACGGATCCATCTCTTGCTCATCGTCACTGTCGAGTAGATCCGACACGTTTGAGCTGTTAACAGCGGCTCGACCATGCCATTCCAGATTGTTCAGCGTTCTTTTGCCTTTTGATGCAATGTTCAGCTCTCCGAATAGGTTAGCAGTTGCCTCCACATCGTTTCGACGTTGAATCTCAGCAAGCAACTTCTCATATGACTCCTGTATACGTTTTCCTTTATCTGGCAAACTCTGCAAACGCTTTCTAAGGGTCGCGTTAACAAAAGTCAAATAAACATTTAACTCCCAAATGAAACCACTTTGCTGACTTACTTGGACGCCAAAAGATTGCTTTGCCTATCTTTAATCTCTAACAGTTCATGGTATCCAAGCGTTTTGAGGTCTTTGATATATTGTTCCTTGGTTTGAGCCGTACCAGGAATTCGATTCATCGGTGGCGCATTCATTTTCTTTGTTTATTATTACAACTTTACATTAATGTTCCCCGCTCAATTAAAACCACACATGTAAGTGTTGCTCGATAGACATCGACTTATCGATAAAACCCATATCTGCCGTGAATATATCGAATAGTGCAATATCGATGAATCGAAAATATAACTCAAATGTTGTAGGGTAATTAATATTAAAAACACAATTAAATAAAAAATAAAAATCAATTAATTCTGTACTGATCATTCATCAAAATTCGAAAAGAAAATAATTTGGTAAAATTGTTCAAATTTATAAGTTCCAAAGGGTTGATTTAAAAATAATAAACGAAGATTTTTCAAACATTTTTTAAGGGACTAAAAAAAATAATGTACTTTAAGATGTACAGTAAATCCGTCGAGATCTTCATTAATGTTATCTTTCGATACCGAATAATATAAAGAGCTAACATTTTAAAATTTAATTTTAAAAAATAAATAAAAATCGGTAACGATATAAAAAATATTGCACCGTTAAGTTTCAAATCAAAGTACACTGTGCATATTGCTTAAGCACATAAATATAAATAATACAAATAAAAAACGAACTTAAGAGAAACATGCCGAACGAATTGATAACGCCAAAAGGCGTCTACAAAGTAAGTAAGCGATTCCGAGATGTAGAGAAACGCCGAGAGGATTGGCTTCACCGTGAAAGTAGACGAACATATGTCCATCCAGCTAAGAAAACGCTAGCTCGGTCTATTAAAATAGTTGGATTATATTTAGCATTATATTTGTGTATTGCAGTTGTTTTAGCATGTAATGTATTAATTTTGTACAATTTTCGAGTGCCCAACAATGAACCCCTTGAGCGTAAGTGCACGAGTATGTCCTCCGTGCCGGGTAATTTTGTGGGGGATAGAAAAATAATACGATTCCAGGCAGATCAACGGAATGAAATAACGCCCTATGTTACTCAAATGTATAAATTTGTTAAAAAATATGGCAACGAAGGAATGCGTCGCCTGCGGGCATGTAATTTAGATAATAACTGGGGTTACAATAGCGGCCTGCCATGCATTCTATTGAAACTCAATATGGCAATACATTTCAATGCTGTGACATATACCAGCTCCATAACACTCCCGAAAGAGGTGCCAAACGAATTGCACGATTATATTCTACAGTTGCCGCTGGAGGATCGCATAGATCGCATATGGGTTAGCTGTTCCTTCTTAGATAATACGACGGACGCGAAAGTGGAGTATATACCGCATCGGTATTATGATGCCGATGGTCTGTTTGAAAAGGAAAATTTTTATTTGCATACTATCTCTGAGAACTTAACGGCTGCAAATATCCGCGAGAATCCAGCGTTTCGTCGCGTTATTGGCGTACAATTTCAATATTTGCCAATGAATCGAGATGTTACCATCAAATGCACAGCATGGGCAAAAAATATTCCTCTAGACGTCGGTTCAATAGTTGTTATATTTCGCATTGAAGGGCATGAAGTTTTTCCAAATCCCGATCCAGACTTTGAAGAAGCTTCCGATTTGAATTTTAACTGAATAGTTAACATGTTAAATTTAACTGTTCATTTGACAGTTCGGCTTGAAAACAATACACAAATACAAAACACAAGCACATTTAACGTTGTTCATATTAACACACAAGAAAGTTTCTATATATCTTCTTAAAATTCATTATGCCCGAAGATTCTGTAATTCCCGCTGGCCGTTACACAGTTAAGAAACGATTTCGACACAAGGAACACACGCGAAAAAACAAGGACTTGCCATGGTCCAAGAAAATATTGGACTTGGATCACCATAAATTGTTTGGACGTACCGCCTGGGGTTGGACAAGAATTGTTTTATTCTATATGTTTCTATATTTTTTAATACTATTGATCTTGGCTATTTGGATGATAATGTTCAATGTAGTATTTTTGAAAGATGACGAGCCACGTTGGCTTAAGGGGGCACCCGGCATTTCGACTGTGCCCAATTCCAGCTATATAAAGATACATACAAGCATTCCAAAGGAAATATATAAAATTACCGACAGAATAGATAAATTCGTAGATAAATTGGAAGCATCTGCTGTGAAGAAATTCGCCGATTACAACAAGGACGAACTTTGGGGATATTCTACCAAAACGCCATGCGTTTTTATTAAGATCAATAAAGTAATAGGATATAAACCGAAAACCTATGATTCGATCAGTGAGCTACCGAACGATAATCTGTTGAAAACTACAGTGCAAAACTTTCCTGGCGTCGATAGAATCTGGTTGACATGCGAATCTTCACAAAAAAATGTCGAATTTAATTATATACCTGGTCCGTATTTTGACGCATCAACCGGCTTGCAGGGGATCGAACGTGTTGTCGCAATGCAGATGAGCCGTATACCGCTTAATATTCAGATTTATATAACATGCAAGATTTGGGCGAAAAACCTTCAAATTGACATGAAATACAATGGCTGGGGCAATGTACAATTTTCTTTTATCGTGTACGAGTCATAGGGAGCAAACCTCTTCAGGATTTCGGGACCATCTGATTGAATTTATATGCAGCAAAAGACATTTGGCCGTTCCCCTTAAATTTGAATTTCAACTGTATATTAAATTGTATATAAATAATATTTTCAATAATCTCATGCCGAGTGTGTATATGTTATTTGTCATGAAATTCATTTCGCGTTTCTCTCTGCATTTCCGCCTAAAATCAAATCTCACATTTTACATCACATTCAACAGTAATTTTCCATTTTTTATGTGGATAGATTTTTTTTACTGCAACAGTCACAATCAGTCGTGTCACGAATATTCATAAGACTATCGATAACTTTTTAGGTACTGGCGAATACTTTTCGTCTCTATCCTTATTGCTCCTCTCTAATTTGCTTGAATTTGTCATCACTATTTGTTTCATTTCATCATATGCATCTGGTCTTTGTGAGGATATGGCAGGAGAGGATTTGATAATCAAGTTTCAGGAGCTTGGCATGAGCGAGCAGAAGGCCAAGGAGACGCTCAAGAACGCCAATTTGACTCGAAACTTACAGCTAGCTCTGGCCGAGACAAACCAGCCGCTGAGCGATGGTGTTGGCATGCTGCTCTACCACATGGCCACAAAGCTGAAGCCGCAAATATCGGGGCAGCTGCCACTTTTAGTGCGCTACATTGCGGAGCGCAAGCTGGACAATACGCAACGTGTGGACGCAGCTCTAGAGTATGTGCTCAAGTGCGGACAGAAGAAAAACGTTAATATCGATCTGGCCGAGTTGGAGCGCGAGTGCGGTGTTGGCGTTGTGGTCACGCCGGAGGAGATTGAACGTGTTGTACAGCAAAAGATTAGGGGCACCTACAAGCAGTCATTGCTGGAGCAGCGCTACCACTTCAACGCATTTAAAATCATGCAGGAAGTCCGCAATGAATTGAAGTGGGCCGACGCCAAATCCTTGAAAGCAGCTATCGATGTTGAGATATTTGATTTGCTTGGCCCCAAAACCGAGGCCGATCTGATCCCACTACCCAAGCAAAGCGAAAAGCAGCCCAAAGCTAAAGTTAGCACTAACGCAAAGCCCGACGTCAAGGCATCCACCACGTCCACAGCTGCAGCAGATGATGACGGCGCCAATACCATTGCAGAGCTGATGAAGACAAAGGTGCACTTCCATGCGCCGGGGGAGAACTTTAAGACCGATGGCTATGTGGTCACCGAGCACACGGAGCGGCTACTGCGAGAACATTTGCAGCTCACGGGTGGACGTGTACAAACGCGTTTCCCACCCGAACCAAATGGCATTCTGCACATCGGGCATGCCAAGGCCATCAACATCAACTTTGGCTATGCTGCAGCCCACAAGGGCGTCTGCTATCTACGCTATGACGATACCAATCCGGAGAAAGAAGAGGAGAAGTTTTTCGTCGGCATCCGCGACATGGTCGAATGGCTTGGCTATACGCCGTACAAGGTGACCTACTCCTCGGATAACTTTCAGCAGCTGTACGATTGGGCAGTGCTGCTGATACGCAAGGGCTTTGCCTATGTGTGTCATCAGAAGGCGGAAGAGATTAAAGGTTTCAATCCACCTCCTAGTCCCTGGCGCGAGAGACCTATTGAGGAATCACTGCAGCTCTTCGAGGACATGAAACATGGCAAGATCGACGAGGGTGCTGCCACTCTGCGCCTTAAACTGACGCTCGAGGAGGGTAAACAGGATCCCGTTGCATATCGCATTAAGTTTATTCCCCATCATCGCACTGGTTCCGAGTGGTGCATTTATCCCACCTACGACTACACGCACTGTCTGTGCGACTCCATTGAGCAGATTACCCACTCGCTCTGCACCAAGGAGTTTCAGTCGCGTCGCTCCTCCTACTACTGGCTCTGCAATGCCCTAAACATCTACTGCCCGGTTCAGTGGGAATACGGTCGATTGAACATGAACTATGCCCTGGTATCCAAGCGAAAGATTGCCAAGCTGATTAGCGAGCGTATTGTCCATGACTGGGATGATCCACGCCTATTTACGCTAACGGCTCTGCGTCGACGCGGCTATCCCGCGGAAGCCATTAACAATTTTTGCGCCCAGATGGGCGTAACGGGCGCACAGATATCCGTGGATCCCGCCATGCTTGAAGCGGCGGTCCGCGATGTTCTTAACGTGACTGCTCCTCGTCGGCTGGTTGTGCTGGAGCCGCTCAAGGTGACCATCAGCAACTATCCGCATTCGGGGCCAGTGGAATTACAAGTGCCAAACTTTCCACAGAACCCAGCACTGGGTTTCCACAAGATTACCCTAGATCGTGTCATCTACATTGAGCGCAGCGATTTTAAACTGGAACCGGAAAAGGGATACCGACGCCTGTCCACCCAGCAAGCCGTCGGCTTGCGTCATGCTGGTTTGGTCATTAGCGTACAGCAAGTTGTACGTGATCCGGCCACGGGTGAAGTGTTGGAGCTCGTCTGCAGCAGCGAGTCAGCGGAGCAGGCCGAGAAGCCGAAGGCATTTGTGCAGTGGGTTTCACAGCCCATTGAACTGGAGGTACGTCTCTATGAGCAGCTGTTCAAGCACAAGAATCCAGAGGATCCAAACGAAGTGCCTGGCGGATTTCTTAGCGACATTAGCGATAACTCGATGTCGGTTCTTCGTGCGTACTCCGATCAGTCGCTGAGCGGTGTCAAGGTGTACGATAAGTTCCAATTTGAGCGCATCGGCTTCTTCTCTGTGGATCCGGACACATCTGGCTCACGGATTGTGTTCAATCGCACCGTAGGACTCAAAGAGGACTCGGGCAAGAAGTAATAAACACTTGAATTTTTTTACAAAACAGAAATATGCTCACAGTAAATAGGATTTATAAAATCAATCATTTCTTTCCCTCGACCATAATTATGTGGTAGCCAAATTTCGTCTTTATCGGTGGATCTGTGTAAACGGGGCTGTTGACTGTGGATATGGGCAGGGCAAAGGCGGCGTCCTGGAATGGCCCGACCATCGCACCGCGTATTTGCCAGCCTAAGTCACCACCTTGACGTGCTTTGTCTTCACTGTAAGCAGCTGCCACCTCAGGAAATTTCTGACCAGCTTTTAACTTCTCTAAAGCTTCCATAATCTTGCCCTGCTTCTCGCAGAGAATATGTCGCACCTTCACAGCATTGCCACCTTTCTTCTCTTTGCCGGCGCCTGCTGATGATTTAAGCAAATTTATAAGGTTTTCTGCTCTCGCAAACAAAATCGTACCTTTATCCTCTGCAGCTGGTTTTTTGCCACCTTTTGCGCCATCCTTTCCGCCCTTCGCATCCTTTTTAGGGGGCATCTTAAATTGTCAGCAAACAACGACTACAGATTTAAGGCTTGCCACTGTGTTGACTAGCACATGTGCTGCCACTATGCAACTAGAGTATATTTTCAATGATAGGTTTACACTGTTTTCAAATATATCGCCAAAACTATCGATATAATATAAACATCTCTAACACGTCTCTCACTCCTTTTCACTTTAGCGAGGCAAAATTTGTCACATTTCTTTGGCAAAATTGTGAGTTTTGTCATTTAATATGAAATGGATATAAAATATAATATGCTAACAACTTTTAATTTGCAGTGCAGTTTGTGATTAAACATTTAAATATCGTGAAGAGCGTAACGCAACACACTAGACAAGCGCTAGCTAAACCAGCAACGAAGCAAAATGCCTAAGAATAAAGGAAAAGGTGGCAAAAATCGTCGTCGTGGAAAGAATGAAAACGAATTCGAAAAGCGTGAGCTGATCTTCAAAGAGGATCAACAGGAGTACGCACAGGTGACCAAAATGCTGGGCAATGGTCGCTTGGAGGCAATGTGCTTTGATGGCGTCAAACGTCTGTGTCACATTCGGGGGAAACTTCGCAAGAAGGTGAGTGTGTGCGTGCCTGTGGGCGTTTCAATGTGTGCGTGAAAAAGTGCTGCTCTCTGCTGTAGGTGTATTGCGTGCACTGTTTGCTAATGTATGTGTATGTGTTGCATATATATACGAATACAAAAGTGTGTGATGCGTGCACATCGAATTGCAATGCGATTTCAAATATTGTCGCCCTTGCAAACAATTTGTCTATAAACAAACATTGTGTACATATTAGTTTATTTCGCCAGCTAGTCAAAGTATGCTGAGCCTTGTCCGTTTGCAACGGCCTTCAAAAATTGCCAACAAAGGCAAATTGCGTTGAACTTATATCTATATACATACATATGTATGTATATGTATGTGTGTTTGGATTAATTTGTGCATGTGTAAGTTGTATGTCGTAATTTTAAAAAGCATCGGTTGGCATCATTTCTCTTAATCCTGATCTTAGACCAGGTGCTTTATCATTCACAAAAGTACAGTGAAAGGTCGCTTGAGCGACAATCAATGTTTCCTATTTTTCCCTTGCCTAAAGGATATTTAGAAGAAGTAACAAAAGAACAGAAAACAATATTTCATTTATATTGTCTGATATAACTAGATAGATATTTTACAGGACAGATTAGCACCTGGTTTAAAGACACATTTTAAAAAATATATAAAAATGCATTACTTGCCCTAAATCTAATTTTAAAAAAGTTGGTTTAATCAGTAGTACCAAAAACTTGTATTTTGTTGCATAGTGTAATTAACGTTAATTTGGGGATCGCTAAATGTTACAATAGATTTCATACAGTTTGCTTTTTTATCCTTAGAAAAGTACTAGCGAGAAAAAGTTTTAAAAATGATTCTGAAATCGATCGGAGGTTTAAAAAACAACCGTTTTCCACCAATTTACCACTGTTGTGGGTGGAATTCCCCAAAACGCTGAAACAGGTATTCATTAGGTTCTTATAGTTTAAAGTAAATTGGACGCAACTTAAAACTTTTCTCGAAAAATCTTTGAATCGCATTTCTACCGAAGAAGTTTGGATTTTGCGAAAAATGTGAAACACGCCTTAAATAATTTTTCATATATTATATATCTTTCGAAATGTATTCGAGCGCGAAACGTCCCCCACCAACTCATTGACAACCATTTCCACCAAAGAGGGAGGGATTTTCCAAAAAGTGCGAACACTCCTCAAATGAGATGGAATTTTCCGAAACTCACGTCTTAACGTGCAACTTTATTAATTATTAAGTAACTAGAGTGCAAATTTCAGCTTCCTAGCTCTTACGGTCTTATATATAGAGATTTATTTTATATATAGAGATGTATTCTTTGCTTTATTTAAATACTAATTAATATTTCTTATCCGTGTCTCTCACTGATGAATTAGCCATGTTTATTTCCTAACGATAGTTGGAATTTAAGCCGAGTCAATAATACCTAACTATGCTCTATGTGTAACATATCAATCTATTGAGTTTATGTAGTATCAATGTCTCTTTATATTATATTGATTTCCGTCAAGTTTTGGGTACTTCACCTAGCAGAACGTCTCATAGGAGCACCCATAAATAACTAACTACGTCGTCTTTCTATGCTCCTACGTAATTGTGCAGATAGCTAGGTACGTCATTAATAGAAAATGATTCTAATCGGGAAAAACCGACAACAGACTTTATCTGATTAATTTGCACAAAAAACTATTGGTAAAGCGAATTTCTAGAACGAACAAAACATGTCGGAAATAATTAAAAGATAGCGTTCAAAAGAGAGTCAATTTCAATATGGAGAGTCAAACTGAAATCTATAAAGTTAAAGCGCATTTGCCAATGAAGTGCAAGTGAATGACCTGATGTATATTATTATGATCCTTATATATAAAACTGTTTCTACTTTCTGACTGACTGGCGATAAACGCTTGGCCTAAACTGTTAGCGAAGCTTTAATTTTTACTGTGACCACGTGACGATGAAGGTGCGCGATAAAACAGAGTTCTGGGAAATTGTTTGAAAAATCCCGAAAAAAGTTTTGTTTACCATCCAATCTTCGTTGAGCTCGTTATTTAAACACTATTTCTGCCAAGGTTTTGTGCATACCTTTTTCAACCAAGAGGTGTCTTAGCTAAAAAGAGAGGAAAACGTTTTTAAAATGATTCTCTTTATTTTTGTTGTCGAAGATTATGCGATCGCTAATTTAATTTAACAATCAATTAATGAATTATCAAAAGACTCATTTAGTAAAAATTATTCAACTTGGAAAATAATTTCAAGTTATAAATTGAAAAGGTGTCTTTTGACACCTTCGGTAGAAACTTATCCAAAAACCCAACCCAACTTGAAGAAGGAAGGTTGTGTGGGCCAGGTTTTGCGTTTCGTACTACCTAAAAGCTTGTGTTTAAGCCAATTTATAGATTCCATTTGCAAATAGGGACAATTTACAGAAAACGGTTGTATGTACATTTTTTTAAACTAATTTTTTCATTTAAAAATCTTTGCAAATTCAATGCAGAAGTGTTCTACACTTTACAAATCTGTGCCTTTTCGTCTAAAAAAGTGTGGGTCAAAGGTTATTTGAACGAAAGATTATATTTAGGCATTAAGCTTTAGACGACGGGATTACAATATCCGGGAATTGGATGAACTTAAAACTCAGTTTCACGTATCATATAACAGGAGATGTAGACTTCGCGATATAGTTTGAGTAATGTTATGATATCTCAATTTTGAAGCAAATATCTTGTGTCGGGCAAGGCCAGAAAATACCAGGTAGTAGTACAAATAGGCATTTCCTCAAACTCAAACTCAATCCAAACAAGCACGTGCTGCGAAGTTAAGGAATCTGAGGCAATTATTATAATTATAATTGCTGTATCGAATGGAATCCATTGATAAGATATCGGGCAATAAAAGTAAAAAATGTACAGAAAGTACGACGCAATAATCGGTTGATTTATGTAAAAGGAATTATAAAGAGGTTATTCCTTATCGGCGGGTCATTTCTGTTGTCTCATAATGACTGATGCATTAAACATTAACAGACAGGCGCCAGTCGCCAGTCGCTTGCCAAAATTTTATCATATATTTTAATACTTTCGAGATTAGAACGTGCTAAAGACTAACTAACAATATTGTAAGCTGTGTCTAATCTTTCAAGTACTTAGTTTGCTGGGGTTCTGTAATGTCTGCAGCGCTTTTGATAATGGCTTTTACTTAGTATTACAGGCATATATAAACTTTCAAGATGTTTAAGTATTATATGAAAGGAGTGAGGTATATCACAAAGATTGGTTCACAGACAAATTTCAACTTTTGGTATTATTCTCGAGAATACCAAAGAAACACCATGAAATTAAGCTCCAATCGTGGAGAGGATCTCATCTCTCACAAAATGAATGTGGTTACATCTTGAAATCATGGTATCAAAATTATAAGGAATTGTCGCTGGGTCGTACAGGATTTTTCCCCCAATTCCCCAATTCTTCTCTCCGATTTTTAACTTTTAATCTTGGTTCTAATCAAGAAATTTATTTTACAATTTAAACAAATCCCACTTTGTTTCGGAACAGATATAACTTACGCTCTGCAATTTATAAAAAAATAATCTGAAATATTTTTGCAAATCTTTTTATAAAATAACTCAGATTGAGCTTTTGCAGTTTGAGCAACTGGTTCAATTTGTGGTAAGGCTCATCGAAAATGAAAACTAACTTCAAGCTCAAACCAGTTTGGTTCAAAACTCAAATGAATTTTTTCATATACTGATTCATTGCGACCCATATTTATTTAGCTTACTGTCTACTTTAAAATTGAACAATACCAGAAGCCAGAAATAGTGGAAGATTTCTTTCAAAATCTGGTAAATGACGAATTCCCTTGACTTACCTTTAGTTCATCCTAAATAGTAGGCTTGAAGTTCTGACAAACTGTATACTCTTCGTGCTTATAAGTTGAATTTCTTTATATAAAAAAGTTCGCAGTTAATTGATTTCATCATGCAAACACAAAAGCTCAAAGACATTTTCCTTGTCAGTCTCAGAATTTGTAAAAATCGAATAATATTTAATCAAAGATTGACCATACATAGCCAGAACACTGAGATTAAATAACAAACCATATGACAGCCTGATATGAAAATTTCATTTCGGAGAAACGATTACAAAATCTTTATGATCAATCAGCAGACGTGGGCCTGTCACCTGGCTTGGGATCAAAGTCCAAGCACATGTCACTCATACGGCGAGCAGCTGAGTGCTGTTAATCTTGAGAGTAATCTTCATGTGGGTTTACTTGCTCCACTTGAGCAGCCAATGGAGCCGGGGCCAACATTTTTGCTTTGCTAATCTCCCGACATTCGCGTGACTAATGCACAGTCCCAAAGCACCGGAACCCCGCCCTCTAGCAACAGTGGCCCGTGTGGGGCTGTATAAACTTATCTATCCGACGCCTGGAATCGTAGAGCTCCAGTCAATTTCACAATTGACACATTTGTTTGTTGGTAAAAATTCAAAAAGACACTCGGATTGGCCTATATAAAACATAATTTGTAGCTTTTTTCTTTTATTAGGAACAATTTTTGCGACTTAAAATTATATGACTTAGTTTTTACGGCCGGGCAGTATACGTAACACTTATTTGACTACTGAGATTAGAAGCTAGGTATTTTTTTGTATGTATTTGGTTTTTGTGTTTTTTGTTTCGATGTATTCAATTCGAGCTGCGTGTGCGCTATGAAGTCCCAGGAACTCTCTCCGTGCCGATAATCCGCTCTACATGAGTTGGGTGGCAGAGGCGATAACCTGGTTGATCCAATCTGTAAACGCGGAGACGCGCACAAAGACAGAGGGCGCATTCTTCTGGCCGCAGGGCAATCTGCCCCAGGACACGATGCCAATGATTATGTTGCTCTGCTCCAGATGTGGTTCGCAGCATTCCTGCATGAGTGGACCGCCGGAGTCGGCGGTGCAAATGCTGACACCTCCGCTCAGGGGGCCGGTGCACAGGTTCGTCTCGTGCAGCTCGAGGCCGGAGCGTGCTAGGATCTCCTCGCAAAGCTTCATATCCAATATGGGCATGTTGGCCATCTGCAGCTTGTGCGGATAGTTGGGCACGGCCGTCATTGAGACATTGCCCCAGCCGTATAGCGTGCCGTAGCCCTCGGGCTGAGCGTCCTGCTCGGGCAGCGTTGCCGCCTGCACGTACTCATCGAAGATGAGCGGCTTCTTGGTGTAGATGAGCGCAATGTCGTAGGGATTCACGCCGCCCAGGTAGAGCTCATGTCGCACATAGTAGTCAATATTGCGCATCTGCACGTTGCCCGCCTCGCCGCGTCGATTATGAATATCATGGCTACCGGCGACAATCACCGAACTGGCCACGGACTGTGGCGAGGTGAGGCAGTGGGCGGCCGTCAGTATCCAGTGCTCGTTGATCACGGTGCCGGCGCAATAATGCACCAGGCCCTGATCCGGTGTCATCATCTGTATGCTGACCACGTACGGTGCCGAATGCGGCGATGCCTCGCGCTTGGCCAGAAACTTTTTGCTCCAGTGCGTTTGATGGGGTGCGTCCAATGTGCTAATTCGATTCTCCAGCAGTCCATACTCGGCCAGATTCAATGCCATGCTGTGGCCGGGACCGCTGCATTTGCGTACGGGCAGCTGCATGTGCGGGGCTGAACTGAGCACAACCATAATGCTGGCTATGGTGGTCAGTAGCACGGAATAGATGTATCTGTACGATAACAGCATGATGATGTCCTCGCTCTGGTTGCACGCCCCGCACGTATTTACACTTGTACTGAACGTAATTTTGACGCGTTTAAAAACGCGAACGGGTGAATTTCGTTTCGGAGTGTGGTGAGTAGCGTGGTTTGTGGTGGATATAGCGTTTGACTTGCGGCTTGTGGTAGGTTGGTTTTGATTTTGGTTTGATGTCTTTCAGCTTTTCGCCTTAGCTTTGGCGTGTCGATAACACTTCACTTGTATTCCCTTTAGCTTTGGCATGGAATTCACTTTTCTTCGGCTGTCTTTTGCCGTTTCCTCTTGCTTTCTTCACTGTTCGACGGCGATTTTAGATTTGCAGCTGCTCCTCACTGGCTGGTCGTACTTATAGCAAAACGCTTGTCAAAGAGAGAGCGCAATCGATTGATAAGTTAGCCAGAGAGCGAGAGAGAGAGAGCTGGGGCAAATTCTGCTATTGGCCGCTTTAAATTTAACTACAGTTACGTGTATTTATACGGAAAAGAGAGTGACTCGATAGGGATTTTCTATGTCTTTGTTATCAGAGTGATAAGAAATTTGCGTGTGCCTAGAGAAATAATGCCCTACGACTATTTAAGCGGTGTAATTAGCAAACAAATGTATTAAGATACATGTGCAGTAAGATTGAAGCAAGCTTTTAAAAAATTGGGGATATTGAGTTTTGTATATTAGATCTACACTCTGCCGCATCAAATCTTTAGCACGTTAGAAAGATATCTAAATTCATATTAAGGCTAAATTTTTGTAATTTTTTGTTTTGGAGAAGGCATACCGCAATATGATAAACTCTTCTTCGAATGCCGCATTATGATTCACTCTGATAAACGTGTCTTCTTATAAAGTATTCTTGATTATCTACGTGCTGCGTTCAGCGGCATGATCCGTACTAATTTGCCAACATTCTCAAAGGTTCACAAGCCCCAGATAAAAATATATTTTAAACAAATGTAACTCACGCTTTTTATCCTCATATAATCCTTAAACATTGTTTGTTTACTTGTAGATACTACTTAATTAGCTAGCTTATAGATATTGGGTAATAAAATGAATAATTGAAATTCCAGTTTGTTAAAAATGTAGCGCATCAAGGTGTTCGGCCAAGCCAAACCCAAATTTATAGTTCGTTCTCCCTGAGTTTCCCCATTGATGATGAGTCCGATAGTACCCCAAGTTCAATCATCTTATATCGTACGTAGCACACAGTATTTATAGTAACATTGTTCACATTGCAAGAATGACACCTGCTGCCTCTCGCATGCCAATATGATGACGAAGTGAGCCCGCCTGCTGTGGGCACAGCTCCTCCACTCCCCACCCCCCCTGCCCCCCCTGCCTGGTCGGGACCAAGGCGGAGGGCAGCACAATCAGCAATTAGTTAACGAATCGTTGGTAGGCGTCGGGTGCTTCCCAGACGCCTGTTTAGGCATGTCGATCGGGCGCGCTTATCTTTGGCTCACTTCAGGAACTCTCGCCCTTGGGTAATATTGCGATTTTAAAGTGCTTTAGTCACGATTCTTTTATCTACCTACCTGATCGAGGCACAATGTGGGTTTATTGCGTGACATATGACGAGGTGCGGATGGGTTTGAGCCAACGCCACACGCCATCGCTCACACGCATAGATTTGCCCCTTCCCCTACTCGAGCCTTATGATTAAGGCTCCAAAGTTCAATCAGCCCTAATGTTTATTTTCAATGATAACGTAACTGTAGAATTATTTTTGCCTAATGAAAATTTAAGCCGAATTCGTTATCAAATCATTTTCTACGTTTTCAATAACTCTTATCATGGATGGTTCTTTATGCATGTGTCATATTTATGCATTAATTTGGCATTTATTGCATTTGGTAGCGCTTCCCGTCCACTAGTCATAAATACTACGCCCGGAAAGTGGCTGAGGAAGTGAATTTATGAATGGGAATCACGAATCAAGTGCACATTGCTGCAGGTCAGTTACCCACTCACCGGTTGATTAATTTGACCCATTTAAGTGGGTAACTATTTTAGACAACTACCTGGTTTCTATCACGAAGCTGTCCAAATATTTCCAAAGATTAAACTCTTCCGTTGACGTCAATGCCTTCTTAGTACCTCATGCAATATATTAAGTTATCAAAAGTGATTAAAAAGATGTTGTCTAAATGTTGTTTGAAGTGTTCATAATTTGAATTAAGATTAGGACTAAAGCTATCTTCAAAAGTCAGCTTTTACTATGGAAGCACGTTGAAACTGAAAGCTATTCAAATTCCTGTAGTTCTACGATTGATCGCACATATTTTAGGTACATATGTAAGTAAATATGAATGGAATTGCTTTCTGTTCTGTCATATATTCTCCTATTTTTCCCAGAAATTGTTTGCCACCCGCAAATTGAGCAAATATTGCGCTCCATTGCGAAATAGCCAGAACTCTGGCGCCAGTTTATTTAAAGATCTGCTATCTATTACATAAAATACAATGAAAGATACAAGCTGCGAAGTAGCTTTGCTTCCATTGAGTCACAAAAGCTTTTCATAGGTGTTTATTGAATTTACAATTGAAATTGAAAATCTATTAGCTCTAACCAATTTGTGTATGCTTTAAAATATGTTACAGGTATGGATTAATCAAGGTGACATCATATTGGTCGGATTGCGAGACTATCAGGATTCTAAGGCTGATGTCATTTTGAAGTACACACCGGATGAAGCTCGAAATCTGAAGACATACGGCGAGTTTCCGGAATCGGTTCGCATCAACGAGACAGTCACATTCGTCGAGGATGGCTTCGACGAGGACATTGAGTTCGGCGATGAGATCAGTTCCGAGGACGATGCTGATTCCGTTGATAATATCTGATTAACAAGCAATAAAAGCGCAGCAACAGAAACAGCAGCTGCCGAGTCGGTTCAGGAATAGGGAATTAAACAAATTTGTAAAAAGTCAACAGCCTCCCCGACAACACCCACCCGCACCCACACCCACAACCGCACACACGCACCCGCACACACACACATACCCCAAGCAGCGCAGTGACAGACAGCTGAGAGCGATAAGGAAGTGACAAGCCAAACGATTCATTCAGAAATAAACCTTTAGAAATTTCAACGTTGCTTTCTAATACATTTCAAACTTTTCAATTCGGATGCCAAACTCAAATTATTCGCCTTTCAACCGCAATGTTCAATTAAAAACAAAAACATGTTAAACAAATAGTAGAACTTTTATATATAAAACGAAAAGAAAACGGAAACAAATGCGCAGCAATGCGAAACACAAACACAATTATTATTTCAATGAAAAGATAAAACGATATTAGTTACATTTTAAACAAACGAAACACCAAAATGTGGAGCAATGCAAGAATCAGCTACATTTATATATTGATAAATAGGCGTTTAACTGAAGGTTAAAATAACAAATAAAAACCAACAACAAAACAAAATGTAGGGAAACGTTTTAAATTTGTAGCTAGAGTGTAAGAAATACCAAAAACAACAAAGAAAAAGAAAACCTGTTTCCCTATATATATAACAAAAAAAAAAAAGGGGGTGCGCTAAGTTTTTTCTCCATAAACATTTTCCAGACTCTGTGTTCCTTTGTGCTTTACATATATTGATTTGATATGATTATTATAGTATCTACTATACCTAACGTCCTTTGTTCTCTTTTTGCTGTGCATGCATTCAATTTTGTATGATGGAACTAAACTCTAAATGTTGATGATTGTAATTAAGCAGAAAGCAAGTTCAATAAATAGTTAATTTAACCGAATGCAAAACAGCAAAGGAAAAAAAATAACAACGATTTTCATTAAGTGTCTTAATTCGTGTTTATTTAAATGCGTACAATTCCATACCAATATACAAAAGTTAAATTAATATTAAGGTCTGGTACAGCTTAGAGCTCCTCGTGATGCGACGGAAACTTTTTGAGTATGGCATGATATAGATTATAGAATGCATAGACTGAAACCGTGACAATCACCAGCAGGGCTCCGCCGAAGGCAATGCTCAGGAAGTTGCCGTCGATGATGCCCGCTGAGCGATGGCGTTTGGTTGAGAAGATTTCTTCGGTTATTGCTGGGCTATTCTGCTGCTGAGCTGTACGCTCGGCCATTAAACGCTTCATGGTGCTTAAGCGTTCGCGGAGTACTTCCACAGATTCCGAGTCCAGATCCGAAGCGCCTGCAAACAAATTGTGTTAGCTTGTGTTCGGTTGCTTTGATGCTGGCACACGAACCTGTTCCTGGTGTGGACATAGCGAAGATTAGGTTGTTATGAAAAGTGAAATATTATTTAGCTGTAGAAAATGAAATGGCAAAAGCAGGGTGTAATTAGAAATATGGGAACAGGCGCATGTGCATAACGGATATGTATCGATTCAGTTTTGGAGTGTTGGACAACGCGCTCAAAGCTGTGCCGCACGCGATAAGTATCGATTACTGTCGGTATTTTCGGTCATATTTAGCCACACGCTACAATAACATTGCAAACACGTGCAGTACGCGCGCGTCTTCACCTGTTGTTTTTACAATATCTTAAATGACAAAATGGGTCTAACTAAACAATATTTGGCATATCGTGCCATAGATAGTTTTAACATAATTGCATCTGGTCGTGCCAATGTGAATTTCGCCGTTCTTGAGAAAAGCGAGGGACGTTTTGTTGCAGCCCCGGCGGCTGAGAATGTTATCATCTGGGATTTGCGGTGAGCATGTGCTATTCCCTTACAATATTTATCAGTTAAAACCAGGCACATCTTGCAGTATGGGCGATCGTAAGTTGACACTGCGCCGTGAAAAAGAAGAAGTTACCGCTTTGCGTGTCTCACCCGATCATCTGCATATTGCCGTGGGCTACGCGGACGGTGTAGTTCAGATTTTCGATCTAAGCTCTCAGACCTACTACGATGCCATTTGCTCTCTGGCGCTTCACAAGAATGCCGTCAGTGTATTGCGCTATGACGGTCATGGTATGCGTCTGGTGAGCGGCGGTCTGGACACCGAGCTGGTCGTTGTGGATGTGGTGGAACAGGCGGGTCGTCAGCGCCTGAGTGGACACAATGCAGCCGTTACAGATGCACATTTCTTGCAGCGTCTGGTCGAGCAAGACATTGTGGTGAGCTGTTCAAAGGACACACAAATCAAGTTCTGGAACTTGGAGACACAGTTCTGCTTCAAGACGATCGTCGACAATCGCACCGAAATATGGGCGTTGGCCTTTGTCAACGACCTTATGGTTGCGGGTGCTGGTGAGAGCGGCATGAATGTCTACCGCCTGCGCAAGCGTGAAGATAGCTCGGCACAAACTCTGGAGACAGCCGTCGAGGGCTTGGCCATAGACGACGAAGATACGATAAGTCCGTTGAGTGTCAGCAACTGCGGTACCATACAACGCGCTGGCAAAGGACGCACGGTCAATTTGGTTGCCGATCCCAACGAACGTGTGCTGAGCTGTCACGGCACCAACGATCTAATTGAGAACTTTTACATATGCACCGCCGAGGAGGCCAAGCAGCGTCTGGCCAAGCGTCTGAAAAAAGCGCGCAAAAAGGCACAGGACGCTGCAGCGCCCGAGGAGGACGACGAGCATCTGTCTAAGGAGCTGTCGCTTAGTGATGAAATCAAGCGCCTTGAGAGCCTCAAAACGAAGCAGAAAATCAAATCAATCGATGTGCTGCTCGGCCAGAACAAAGAGCTGCGCGTGCTGGTCAGCTTGGCCAACAATAGCATGTGCCTGTACTCCCTGGAGGCATCACTGAAGTCGCGCAAACCTACAGCAGCGTCGGTAGCGTCTGCTGACAGCAGTGTCAAGTTGTTGCGCTCACTTACACGGCTGGGACATCAGTCGGAGGTGCGTTCCGTCTGCTTCAGCAACGATTCGTTGGCTATTGGCTCTGGCTCGGGGGATTCCTTCAAGTTCTGGGATCGCGATGCTATGCAATGCCTGCGCACCGTGCCTACAGACTATATACTCTGCTCGCGGTTTGTGCCCGGCGATCGCTACGTGCTGCTGGGCATGAAAAGCGGAAAGCTGTTCATTGTGGATGTGGGCGCAGCGGATATTGTCGAGCGGATACCCGCACATGAGAGTGAGCTCTGGAGCATTGCTCTCTTGCCAGACCAGAAGGGCTGTGTTACAGGCAGCAGTGATACGACGCTAAAGATCTGGAGCTTCGAGCTGATCGATGCGGGCGAGGGCGAAGCACAGACCAAGGTGCTCTCACTGCTGCACAAGAACACTCTTAAACTGGAGGAGACAGTGCTGTGTGTGGCCGTCAGTCCAGACATGAAGTACCTGGCCGTGGGACTGCTAGATGCCACTGTCAAGGTCTTCTTTTTGGACACATTCAAGTTCTATTTGTCGCTGTACGGACACAAGTTGCCGGTGCTGTGCATGGACATCTCCTACGATGCGACACTGATAGCCACTGGCTCGGCAGATCGTAATATTAAGATTTGGGGCCTCAACTTTGGTGATTGCCATCGTTCGATTTTCGCACACGATGATTCGGTTATGTCCCTGCAGTTCATACCCAAGACGCACATGTTCTTCAGCTGTGGTAAGGATGGCAAGATCAAGCAATGGGATGGCGACTCCTTTGAGAAGATAATCACCCTGCCCGGCCATATTGGCGAGGCGTACTGCCTGTCCGTGTCGCCGAATGGCCGCTATTTGGTCAGCTGCGGCTCGGATCGTACTCTGCGAATGTACGAGCGCACCGAGGAGACAATTGTACTGAAGGATGTACAGGAAGAGGAGCGCGAGCAACTGGAAAACGAGAAACTGGCCACCGGCGAGGATAATAGCGTGCCGCTCTTACCAGGCTTAAAGCTGCCCTCGCGCAAAACTGTTGGCTCCGAGCAGGCTGCCGAATCCATCATGGAGTGCCTGGAAATATCAAAACAATTCGAGCTGGAGGCCGACGATAAGCCCGACCTGCATCCGTTGATGCTGGCGCTGCAAGTAAAGAATCCAAACGATTTCCTGGTCACGACACTGATTCGCATACGCACCTCCGACATGGAGGAGGCGCTGCTGCTGTTGCCCTTCTCAATTGTGTGCGAACTGCTCGAGAGACTGCCCGCGCTAATTACCCAAAGACCCGACGAAGTGGAGCTGCTCTGCCGCGTAACCGTATTCCTGTTCAAGGTGCACATGAAGCCCATTGCGGCAGCCAAATCCATGAAGCCACTGCTCATCAAGCTGCTGGGCCTGCTCAAGCACGATGTGCAGCAGCTACGCGATACCATGGGCTACAATCTGCACGCCTTGGCGCTGCTGCAGACGGACGTGGAGCAGCGCGAAGGTGTCCAGCTGTTCCGGGACGCCACGCTGGCGCGTCGCAAGCAGGAGAAGAAGCGACGCGCGGCCGCCAAGCGGCGCATCCAAATTCAAATGGTGTAAATACGTTTATAGGATAGGACTTTAATTTTACCAGAATCGAATCAATAAAAATACATTTTATTGAAACACCGAGGAGCACTTGCAATTTTCGTTTGTATGCAGCAATAATAAACGCGATTGGTGAGTTTTGGGTGTGTGTGGTTGTGTGTGGATGTGTGTGTCTGTGGATGTGGAAGAGTCGGGCATTTAAAATTGCTGGCAAAAAGTGTCCTCATTTGTATATGCGACCTCTTGTATGCTTGCCAAAGAGTTGGACTTTAAGATTTTGAAACGACATATAACATTGAAACAATTAGGACGGTGCGACGGCACTTGTGTCGGAACGAGCAAGCAAAACATATTTCCGGTTCAACAAATGCCAGCCTTTGGATAGCAGCCAGCATCGGCGGTGCCGGGACCACAAGGACCTGTAATATCAAGGGATATATATTTTTAATATTATTCGAAGCGCTGCATCACACGCTACACTCACCGCCGCAACGCTGAAAGGCACCCGGTGGTCCGTAGCTGAGCTTCTGTATGGTGCACTTCTCGATGGGCCCACTCGGCCGGCAATAGGATGTATACCGTGCCCAGGGCAACGGCTCCTTGGGCTGTACGCAGTTGGGCAAGTAGCTCAGCTTGTAGGTGGTGCAATTCTCCATTGGTCCATCGTTGCGACAGAAACCCTGCCGCGGCCTGACGGCATCCGGTCGTGGGAAACAGGTCACATCCACTGGCATATACGACAGCTTGTTGACGGTGCAGCGCTCCATGGCGCCGCTTGGACGGCAAAACGCTGTCAGCGGCATTATGGGCGCACGGCGCACATGCGGCTTCGGCACAAAGTCATGCTTCTGCGTTGTCATCGCGTACAAGGGTCCATCAAAGCGCAGCCCATTCTCCATGGGCCGTATCGGCGGTGTGCGCTCTGTGCAATTGGGCTGGTACGACAGCTGCAAATGGGACGCAATATGTTTATTGGAATTAGAAATGGATGGGTGTCCTTAATCTAACTCTGAAATGGAATGTGCATAAGGGGATAGGGAGAACGCGATCGGTTAGATCCGGCCTAAGCAAAACGAAAGCGGAGAAAGTCGCGCCATTAGGATCATTTAGATGCCGCCATGGACCGATCTACCTGTGAGGCTCAAGGAATGTGCAGCCCACTCCGGGCTTAGATGAAAAGTAAAATACCAGGAAACACGGCTCTGTTTTCTCTAAGCTGGCGGAGGAGATATATCTTTTAATCTTTTGCATAATAAAATACCTGCCAAATACCTAGAAGCATTAGAAGTATATTCACTTCTCTCATTATCTAGCAATCTAATATAAATACATATATATTTATCTATTTGTTATACGCACCTTTTGTACGGTGCACCTTTCCAGTGGACCGGTGGCTCTGCGGAAGGTGTCCCTCGGCATAATGGGCGCCGGCTTGGTGCGGGACGCATCCACGGGCCTATAGCTTAGCTTGTAGACAGTGTTTGCGGCACCGGCATCGTTGCCCATGAAGCGCAGCGTGTTCATTGGCAGCATTGGGGCAGTGCGTCCGGTATTGCAGTTGGGCATATAGCTGAGATTGTAGGTGGTGCAGACGTTCTGATAGTTGGGCGGCACGCAGCGCACCTTGTCGGCCCAGGGCGTCGGCTCCCTGGGCGGCAAACAGACCGGCATATACGATAGCTTCTGTATGGTGCAGCGCTCCATTGGGCCAGCCGGCTTGCAGTAGTGCGAACTCTGCTGCATTAGTTTGGGCGGCGGATTCTGGCACACATCTACCGGCATATAGCTCAGCTTTTGTATGGAGCAGCGCTCCATTGGCGCCGTCGAGGAGCAGATGGCGACGCGCGGCAAGCAGGGTGAACGCTTCACAATGCCCTTGGGCACGTAATCGTGTTTCTGGGAGGTCATCGCGTAAATCGGACCTTCAAAACGCAACCCGCTCTGCATGGGCAGTATGGGCATGGTGCGCGAGGCCGGACACGGCGGCATATAGGACAACTTCTGCACGGTGCACTTCTCCATCGGCGCCGTGTTGGCACTGATATGGTTGCACGGTCGCACAGGTCGGGCGCGAAGATTGTCGCCACAGTTGCCATAGTACGAGCGCCGATAGACGGTGTCGGTATCCAGCGGAGCACTGGAGCGCATAAAGTGCGATTGTGGAATAATGGGTAGTGTGCGCGCCGGCTGCTGGTAGCAGCAGCCGGAATAATCACCGCAGTCGCATGGCTGGCAGGATGCACCTGGCGGGCAGGATGGAAAATCAGCGGGCGCCTGGCACGGATCGCACGACGGATCACCCATAGCTGCCCGTCTGTTCAAAATGTAAAAACCTGGCTTTGCTTAATCTGCGAGGGATGCCCCATGGATTACTTTAAACGGATTCTCGACTTGTTCCACCTACTTACCTGGATGGGATTATCTGTGAACCAAAGTGCGTAAGATACACTTATAAATATACAAAAACAACAAGAATTGGCAATTGTTAAAGGAAATAATTTTGTTTGCTCCGAGTACAGAATAATAATTACTGTATTGTTAACACATCCGAAAAACGAAATAAAAATTTTGCTTTGACATTCAACGACGAAGGTTTTACAGTTTGTAATGCAGTAGCAAGTGTAACAAAACCCAGACATCTAGAAGTCGGAGACACAGCCTACTTAACTCGACGATCTGAAATATTTCCCACTCAAATTCAATTGTGGGTAAACTGATTTAAAAAACAAGGATTCAAACATGGCCACGAGTGCTTGATTTTAAAATCCTTTTAATTTTGTACGGATTCGCAGGCTGTGCATATTTTTGCCCTTGGGCCCACAACATGGGCAATTGTGTTCTTGATTAACTTCGGTGTTTATTGTCCGATCTTTATGCATTTTTCAGGGAATAAATATGTGTATGTGTACATATGAATTTTTCAATCTTGGAGATATGAAAGTATTTCGATTGATTCCCGCGTTCCTTTGGAAGATTTAAAAGTATCCAAATAATTTCTAAGGGAGATCTGCTCATTAAGAAGGACATACAGAGGGCCATAGCTCCATCGACAAGACCGTTGATGCTGACCAAGAATATATAATTTATGGTCAAGGTCGGCTATCAGTTAATATAATATATATATAAATATATTCTCAAGGCAGTCACGTTCTAAAATATTTGGTATTTGTTAAATGTTCATGTTCATTCTATAATTAATAGATACTATTCGCAAGTCCCAGGTATTTCAAGCACAAAAGCGTAATTAACGAGAAAATAATAATTTTTATTCCCGAAACTGTACGAAAAACCAGGTGAATTCCCATAAAATGAAACAACATATGTTGGCGAATATATGAATATTTTATTTTGGGGCTACCTTTGGTCGAAACTGCACACTGCCGAACCCATAATTCAGATGGTATCGTCTTTTTCTCAGCACCTCGGCTGAGTGGGAATCGATGGACAGGGCCAGTTTCATGGTCGGACCCCTTTGGGCGCGATGCAGGACGCGCCAGTCGTTAATATCGAGACCCTCATTTTGGCCATCGATAAGTCGCAGCGTGTACTTGACTGAGGTGCTCTCCAAGGCCGGAAAGAGGCCGACGAATACCTGATTGAAGGGAACTTCCGATTCCGGTATGACTTTCAGGGACGCACCCTCCCAGGGGCGCAGCCTGGTGTCCATGGCCATTAGCCAGTTTACGGTGCTGACGTCGTTACATCTTACAGACATCCAGCCCTGCCGAAACGTACAGCCCGAAAATCTGGGCTTCACGGAGCCCTCGTTCTGGCGCTGTACGAGATCAATAATACTTTTCTGCACCGCGTCCAGCTGCGGTGTACTCCACAATTCGCTTGGATAGTCACCAGGCAGAATAGCCACGTTAAGATTGACTTTATCGCGGCTTTCGACTTCAGCTTGCTCCATGCCCGACAGTCCGCTTCTGCCATGGACAGGCGGCGTGTCGACGGATGGAATGGCATTTCGTGAATGTTTTGGAGCGACTCGTAATACGGGTGCACCGAGTCTTGCTTGAATGGGTATCCGGCTGAATTGTGTGGCAGCGGGCACTGGGCGCACCGATGAGGCAGGTATTTGATCAGGTATTCGTGCAGGTTCTGTCCAGTCAGTGCCAGTTCTCCTGTGGCCTGCGAAGGGTATATGCTCGGCTCGACTGCAGTTAGGTTCCATGGCTGATTGTAAATCCGGCGGTTCCATTCTGCTGACACTTTGCGTTTCTGTTTCGATCCTTCGAGTGTTTGGTTTGCGCGGATATATTGGAGTCATTGCTTGCACTTTGGCCTCCTCCACGCTCAAGCCCCTTTTAAGTAGATAATGGAATCGCTTGCGGGCAGCGCCGCTAAAGCGAAATCGATCTATTTTTTTCGTTTGGTTTGTTCGATTGTTACTTGTTTGGTTAATTTGTTGATTGTTTAAGTTCATAGTTTGGATTCCCACGAGTGTAGGGGTCAGGCGGGTCTACCGTGACATAGCCCCCAGTATCACGGCAAGGCATTGATTTACAACCGGAGGACGCCAGGTATCCGGAGGTCACCGTTCGAAGACAGCATTCACGCAGCTGCCATTCAGCCCGTTGGCACGGTTTCGACTAACACCAGGGCTTGCGGGTTTTATCGAGTTGTCCTCTCTAGATCCGCCATATTTAGTCAAAAGCAGTAGCACCTCGGGCAGGATGTGGCACGGTAGCCACGTATGGTCGGTCTTAGGCAATGTGACTGCCTCTGCCTGCGACTGTGTGTGTGCGTGTGTATGTTGCCGTATACACAGTCCGCAGCGCTTGGCTACCATATATTTGGAAGATTTCCGGCTCGATTTTCATCATTTTTATTTATTTCAGTTCATCGTATCTTGACATATTTATTTTTAGTTGGCTGATATCTAGTTTATCCCTATTGCTTACATGGTAGCTTTTTTAAATAGCACTTGATACGTATTTTAATATATATATTTAAAGATTTTGCATCAATTGGAAATGGTTAATGTGCCTAACTAAATAGCTAACTAAATTAGACGACGAAAAAAAAAGTGTGTTAGTGTGTATAATTGGAAAAAATTTGTAGCTTTTGTGTTTTGTTTTAATTACAATTATATAAGGATCAATAGATCATCACGCGAAATCATTTACAATGCACGAAAACGCAATCGAATACTTTGAATTATCTATCAACATGTAAATTACATTAACAATTAAAGGGAAAAACAATTATTGGATCTTAAAAAAGTTGTCGCGCACTAATTAATCGGTAGCATTTTGATCTGGTGCCGTAAAACTGTTTTGTAAAATAACTCTTAAGCTCGAAACATAACGCACGTTTATCGTAAAGATATATATATATAATTATTTGTGTTGTTTTGTGGAGATGTGTGTGCGGTTGTGTGTGTAAGTGCGGGTGGGGATTACCAATAGGAAATACAATATGTTTCAGTTCCAACGATATTTGCTGCTTCTTCCTTATCGACAATAATTCCTTGTATATAATTTAAACATAGTTGCTATTTCCTGCTTCTTAATTATATTTTCAAATATACCTTCACAGCGTGGGCAGATTGTCGGGCACATACTCTAGGAAATTGGCCGGGAACTGGCCCTGCCGTCCATCCACCTCGCCGTACAGCCAGTCCTCGTTGATGCGATAATGTACGCTCACCAATTCGTTTTCCTGCAAGGCAAAGCATTCAACATCCAAATTAATATTCAACGGACGAATTTGGACAATTTGAAATAGGCCAATCGCAACAATAAAAGTTCGAAATCAGTTTCTTTTAACTTACTCTCAAAGCAAGATCTCCCTCAACCTCACCGGGGAAATTGTACAGACAGCGAGCAGTCGGCAACTGTTGTTGTTGTTGTTGCTGTGACTGTGTGTGCGGCGTTTGAGTTGGAGCTGCTGCACTTCCGTTCAATGGCACCTTAATTTCCACATAGTTCACCGGAAAGAGACCCTCACAGCCGGAACGTGTACGTCCGCGCAACCATTCTTCAGTTGGCTGGTCCAGCAAATATATTCTCTCGTTTTCCTGCAAGCAAGCATGTTTAAAAAGACTGCAGCACCTCAATACACTGAGATATTTACCCTGAAACTAAGGTCCCCCTCCTCGACGCCTTCGAAGTCGTAGAGCGCAATGGCATATGGCTGCTGCGTCTCCTCCACATAGCCAGAGCTGCCATTGCTCAGGGCCAGAGCGTCCACCTTGCCCGATATCACATCCAGCAGCGAGATATTGCCAGAAGCAGCTGAGGTAGCGGCTGCCGCGAGCGGCGGAGGAGCGCCCTTGGGCATGGGCGGCGAGGGTGGTGTGCTGCAGCCGGCATAGGCAAATGCTGGCGGCTGGCCAATAAACGGTGGCGGCTTGGGCGCCTTGGGCTTCTGCGATATCTTCGGCTTAATGATGGTGGGCATCGTCAGCGACTGCGTCGGTGGCAGCAGACTCTTGCCGTTGCACAGCGGGTTGTCCGAGCTGCGTTGAGCTGTGAGTTGAGGCAGCATTTGGCGCACGGGTGCCGCACCGAAGCTATCGACGCCGACGCCGCTGTAGATGCTGCTGTCCACCGCCTCCCAGGGATCCACCAGCGGACTCTGCGTGGCGGGCCGCGAGCGCGCATGATAATCATCCTCGAAGCCGCTCTCCGGCTGCGAGACGCTGCCATTGTTGGGCGAACTGAAATTGCTGTCCGAGCTGAAGCTATCGACGCTGACGCAGTCGCTGTTCGATTTCTGTGTAAAAGTGGGCGATGAAGGCGGCGAATCAAAGCTGATCAGCTGCGCCTCCGTCTCACGCTGGCTGCTGCTCGAGCTTTTCGTTGTGCTGGTCGTCGTTGTGCTCGCCGTATTCCAGGCCGCATTCCAATCGTAAACACTTGCGCTAGTCGCGTAGCTGCTGGCAGCAGACGCGGCTGCACATGCAGACGCAGTCGTCGTCGTCGTGGAAGACACGGCATGACCGCTGCTCAGGCCGTAGACGCGGTTCTGCACTGCGGCCTTGGAAGCGGCGGCCGTTGCCGTTCCCGTTGACTTTTTGCGATGGAAAATGTTGCTAATGATCCTGCTGCTGCTGCTACCACCACCACCACCGCTGCCATCACCCCCGTTCCCACTGCTCAAGCTTGCCAGCTTTCGACCATTTATCTGAACTTTGGGCGGTGGCGGTCGAGGCGGCGGCATCTTCTTGCAATTGTTGCCATTGAAAGCCGCACCGGCTGGATCGAAGGGCGCATCGTTCCAATTGGTTGCCGGCGTATAGCGCGCTTGGGGAAACTTGCGAGTTATGCTGGACCCGTTAGTGCTGCCCTCCACATCAAAGTAGTTGTTGTTGTTGTTAGACTTCTTGTGCAAAGGATTCTGCTGCACAGCTCCCTTTGGCGGCGGCGGCAGCTTGATGCTCAACTTCTGTAATCCGCCATGCGACGCCTGTTGCTGTTGCAGATGCTGCTGCTGCAGTTGCAGACGCAGCTGCTCCAGACTCGCATTCGCACCAGCCGCAGCATTCTGGCCACGTGACACCGGCGGCGCTGGCGCTGGTCTCGACGGTATGGTCATGCTGCCTGCAATTGCAAGAGGACAAACAAAACAATTAGTCAAATGTGGCAAAACTTAATAAAGATCAGTAAGATGTGAAACTGTGTTTGGAGCTGGACGTGGCGGCCACTCGACTGATCCAGAAGAGATGTACACAGTACTTTGTAAACACATTTTACATTTACCCATGAAGAATTGTTTCATTAAATGACAATTTTGTTTAGTTAATAAGTACAAATAAATGGCAACGGTCAGGCAGATCGAATTAATGATTTTTTAAGCTGCCAAGCATAACTTATCCCAGTAAAGAATTCTAAACGAACACGATATAAACTCTGATTTAGCTGTCGTATTCTACGAGTTGGTGTAGTTGGCATTGCTAAAAGTCCTTGTAGTCCTTGGAGTTCATTTAACAAGGCCAAAGTGTCTTTCCGTTATCTCTAACCATTCAGCCTTAAGACTTTAATCTTAGAGTAACGATTCCTTTTCAAACTGTTTTATGCTGTTTTTCAGAGTATTGCGCGGTCGTTTGCATCCGACTGCAACGTTTTTGCCAGGTAAATCAGCTTCTGATAATAAATGCAGTAAATCGTAACAAATGGCAAAAACTCTACAGATTCCCAGTGCAAGGGAACACGTTAACCCTTTTTGTATTATTATTTATAAAATGTATTCTTATAAAACAGCTGCTTAAATTAGCTTCGACTCAACGATTCATGAATTGACGATGAGATCATAGTCAACACTTGTGGGAAAATCAAAAAATTTACGAATTGGAATTGATTGAAGTTAATTTCCGTAGGCTCCATTAATGCAATCACAGTCGATTTTTGGTTTATCAGCGAAAAATTGAATTCTGTTTTGATTCTCCTGCTTAAACGGGAACCCGAATTTGTAGCATAAGTTAAACGATAACTAGTACATTTCATGTCGTATAGTTTAATATCAAATTGCAACACATAAATGTATCTTTCTTTAGTTCTGATCTGCGCCGAAGTCGACAGCCGATTAATTTCAAATAAACAAATATAATTGCTGTTCCATTCGTCATAATAAGATCACAAATCCACAAGAGTGGAAAACAATAAATGAGAAAATCTTAAAAAACAAAAACAAATCAATCAGTCAACAGCTGATTGATCGTTAGCAGATTTTACGATTCAGCAGAAAACATACAAATACGATACAATGTTTAAGTTTGCTAAAATGTACGTCATTGAATTGCAAATCTGGAATTGGAACGAAACATCCACCGCAGACGCCCACTAAAAAAATTGCGTTTAAAAAAAATAAGTAACAAAAACAAGTCGCAAGTATTCCACTGGCAGATACCCTAAGTCCAGAGTCTAGATGTCCGGACATGCATTTTAACTTTCTTCTAAACTCAAAAATTTCACAATCGATTTTATCCAATTGGGTAAAGTACTCTCCGAGATCCAAGCGATTACAGAGACGGATAGATGAACTTGGATATATCGACTCAGCTCAAGGATCTGATCAATCTATACTTATGCTGCCTCCTGCATCCTGAATACCCCTCTCTTTGCCCGCTTTCAAAGAGTTCGGTGCCTTAATGGCAAAAGTGTGTGGCATTTACTGGATTTCTATTCTCAGTGAATTCCCATTAAGAGGTTGACAATGATGAGAGCGTATTTCGGTGACCGGCACATCCCGGAATGGGCTGGCACAGTGACTACAAATTTTAAACGATTGTGATAAAAACACCAACAACAACAACAACAACAACAACAAAATAATTCATACTTAAGCGCTGCGATAAGAGGCGGCAAGCGGCCTCTTATCAAAACAAATACACATTTATATATATATATATATATATATATATATATATATAAAGAATATTTTACGCAGCGAATAAACGTGGCTAGCTTTTTTTGTTTAATTCATTAAAAATACATAAATACATATAGAGGCATGCATTTGGCATGCCATAATGATGATTATTGACCTCCAGCTGGGAGCAAGAGCGACATCATCAGCTGCGAATTCCCCAACGAGAATTATGGACAAACAGTCCAGTCCGCCCAGTCTCGACTGTCAAGTCTCTAAAGATTATATATATATATATGTATATTATATCTATGTAGGCATTCGCCCCATAAGTTATTGATATCTGTCGCTGGCGCCTGTGGAAATTGTTGTAGCTGCGATATGTGTGCCAAACATATGTTCTTTGGTTTTGCATATGCCACAGTTTTGTATGCCTCCAAGTTGCTTTCTGTTCAGGAAGTGGACACTTGACATATGCCGCAGCATTGTTGAGCACAAATATCCTGTGCAAAGGTGTCCAAGGGGAATACCAAGCATTGAAGCACTCAATTCAGCTCCAAGTGGCAATATGGCATCAATTCGAACGTACATTTTATACATTTCTAAGAGGGTATTTAGGGTTTCACACGCAACGTGTAACGCCTTGAAGGCATCCTCTGTGTAACATAGAACCTGCATGGATTCCCGATCTATAGGATATCAGTAAAGTTCGCCTGGAGTGGATCAGAACGTTGGAAATATGTTTGGCTAGCTGCCACATTGTTGCAAGGGTATTTAACGTTCGAGCCAGCAAAGCTTACATTTTGCTTGTTCATCATCTCGAATGAACAAAAGACTCGAAGATGCTCGAGAATGAATCATATACGCTTTAATCTATTGAAACATATTTTTTGTGAAAAACACAACGGACCTTAAAATAAAATATGCACATATTCACAACACAAGCTTGAAGCAATCTTTTGGGCAACATTTGAAAAGACTTTCATTTAAAGGCCATAAAAAAAAAAACAAAAACTGCAAGATTTATGTAATTTTACGTTACAACTTTAAAGAATTGTCAAAGAGTATACCGTTTCGAATATGTTTTCCCCCAGCCACACACAATGCGAAATGGGTTATTGAACAGCTTCGGTTTGCATTGTCCGCGATCGAAACGAACTCTTTACTTGCAAAATTGAGTTTTTTTTTTTGGATGAACGTGAATATATATCCAAACAGAGAAACATACTGGAGCTTGCATAACTAACTAGCTTCCATATAAGTTCCAAGATATGCTCAAAGACGGGATATCAATATCGCCTTTTATCCATTCCATCGAAACGTTCAAGAAGCTCTATCTGAATGCGCCATTGGAGTACTTGGGATCATACTTGGGATCATACTTACTCCAACTAGATACTCGAATTGCCTCGTTCATAGCTCAATCGAATCGGCTGTTCATGCGGAACAAGCATGTACATTTGGACACGTTCTGTCTGTAACTTTTGAACATTTTCAAGGCTAACAAACTATAAAACAAATAATTAACTAGGAGTTATCACGTTCTTTACCAGCTGCGAGCTACCATTTCAAAAGCTTGAAGATTCGATATTTATTGATAATTATCAAATCGAATCCCTTATTCCCTCCAGTCCTGAAATAGGACTCGACGATTGATACTGATTAATATGCCTTATGGAATGGGCGTTGCCTCCATATGCCCCTTTTTAGGGCTTTTCAATGTGTGCAGGGTATAAGAACAGAAATAGTCAATATTTTGTTTACTGCAAATGAGGCACAAATTGCAAACACGCTTCCCGCCACAAACAAACCAGCAGCATGCACTCGGAACTCACAGAACCAATCTAATTAAAATCACCTTCTGAAGGGTAGTCTAAACGTGTAGCTGCATGTGTGTGGGTGGGGATGGCACCTAATCACGTAAACTGCACTCGTTACGGCTGCATTTCGATATTTGGGCCTTTCCTACTAATTAAATCGACTGTAGCCGTGTTTCCCACCTCAGAGCAGAGATGTAATTCACGTATTTGTTTATTTTACTGGCCCGGCAACAAGGCAAGCGTCTACGTCAATGGCAAAAATGCTTTAATTGTTGCCTGCAATCAATTGCAGACAAATCGAAAGGCGATTTGAAAGTGCAGCAGCAAAGAAAGTGCCAGAACTATTTCCAGTGTAAACGCGTTATTTGATTATGATCAAACACTATAAACTAACGATACTTATCGTGGCAACAGAGTGGAAAATAGACAAATATATATACAACAATTAGTAATAGATAGATAGATAGATGTACATGCTTTCTATGGCCTTGATATTAGTTTATTGTTTTATTAATTGTACACATAGAAACAAATTAGACTACAGCTGTAAAGTATTTAATCTACAGCATCTGAAAGATAGCTATTTGTATGACCTTGTCTTCTACCCTGAACCCATTGAAAATGGTAGAGGGAAGCAACTCCGGCCCTGTTAAGTATATATATTCTTGGTCAGCATCAATAGCCGATTCAATCTAAACATGTCCGTCTGTCCGTATGTATGAACGCAAGGATCTCAGAATCTATAAGAGCTGAGGACTTGAAATTTTAGATGTAGGTGCTCCTAGTGCCGGAGCAGATCGAGTTTGTTTCCGATAATCGATAACTTACTCCGTTTCAATCCGCAATCGATAAAAATCGATATCAATATCCTGTTTTTTGGGCAATTTTGGTAAATAATAAGAGCTAGAGTCACCAAACTTGGCATATAGCTTCTTAAATAGAATATATACATATATGCATGATGTTGGCAGAAGAAGGGTTAGGGTATCCCCTAGTCGGGAGCTCCCGACTAGAACCTCTTACTTGTTCAATATGTGAACCAAAGCTAAAACTTGTGGAGTATTTGAATGGATTAAAAGTGTCTGAGTTAAGCATGGCTACCTAAATGTGTTCTATATCTAGTTGGGTCCTAATCAATAATGCTTTGAATGAAGCGCGACATATTTGTGTTAGATCAAGATAATTAAACAGGCCAAGTTCCTTTTAAATGTACTTTTTCGACAACTACAGTAGTTATTAAAATGAACGACCAAGTGACCAAGTGCTTACATGAATAATGTGAATACGATGTATATATGTTTAAGTGTGTGCTGTCAAAGTTTATGCATTCCTAAGGTCACGACTGGGCGAGTTATCAACACATGGCCATTGTTATACTTATGTATATATGGAGGGGCGGGAAAAGGGGTTGAGTCTACGATAATTGTTTCACGAGTAGTTCACGTTACATTATTGCCGTCTACAACCGGTTGAGGCTGAGTCTCTCTGTCTGACATGCTGGCAAATTGTTCTGCGTGATAGCTTTTACTTTTGGCAAATAAAAAATGAAATTGCATAGAAATGACCGGCACACGTCAAAGGCATAACAATTAAATGTGTGAATACATGAAATTTTAGCAAGTAAAAGTGCGGCAATCGACTCGAAAAGTTGCCTCTTATTATCTCTAACTATTCTATAAAAATGATGTTCTCAACTTATTGCTTTGCCTACTATCAGATTGTTTAAATATGTTGATTAATTAATCAATTGACTATAAAAATCCTTTTATATAAGTCTCAATTGAGTCTAGTTTCTGTAGACGATTCATTATATCAATTACCCATTCGCATTAGATACAGGGTATTCAAATCTTTTTGTATTGGAATCGAACGCTTTGCTTTGTGAGCCGCTGACTCAGTTGAGGCTGCGTGGGCTGTCGATGATTCTTATGGTCGCTTGATATACTTATAAACTTTTGTATGTCTGTATGTACTTGTGTGTGTGTGTGTGTGTGTGTGTATGCATTAATCAAGAGCCGGGCACAACTTTTACTCATGAGCTTGACCACGCGCTTGCAAAGCTCTCGCGAACAATGCGCGAAGCAGAACTCAGTCGAACAAAAGAAAGTCATTTTCTAGCCAGATATGAGACTTTTTACCCACACACGCACACACACTTAGCTGTGTGTGCGAGTGTGACTCGTAAAAGCGACAGCGAATCAACATGCATATACGACACGGAGTTCATGAACATTATCACAAGTTGAACTCTTGAGAAAATACGAAATGAATATAATATTATTATTGATGAATGCAAGAGAGCAATTTGTTATGCTCTATTTAAGTATTGCATTTGATTTGTTTTTTTTTTTTTTTGTGGTTTTGCTTTTGGCAATTGTTGTCTATTCACCCAAGTTCGACATTTCCTCAATTGGCAAAATCAAAATAGCACAGCACAATGATTATGACCTTGAGTTTTCATTTTAATTAGTTTAATAACAACAACAAAAATAAAAGTAAACATAAAAGCATTTAAAGTCAATCGAATATAAGTTGCAAATATAGCTTAGTTTAAAGTTTGTAAGTTTCCAAGCAAATATATTCGAGATATAGAGAGTATGTAAATGGAAGGAAGGAAGTATTTCTATTGTGGAAGTAAAAACAAAACGAGTTTTAAAATACGTTTTTATGCTTTAGCCATTTACCAACTACTTTTTGTTAGTAATTAGTTAGTAAACGTTTTTAAGCCGCTTGTGCATAAGTTTTCATCAAATTTAAAACAGGTTCTTAGCTTTATTTTGGTCCACTCGAAATCACATAAATTTACAAAGACGCGTACGTTAATTAAAAGCAATTCGCGCCACGGAACCTAAATTGAATATATTGCCATAAATAAACAATTTAATAAACTTAAATACAATACAACGAATTGAAGAATTGACAAGACTTTTAAGTTTCAGGAACGTGCTTCAACAGAGAGCAAAGCACACGTCGAAAATACAAAGAGAAAAAAGTTTATTCAATTTACATACAAATTTAACTCGAATCGAAACAACTTTTTGAGCTTGGCTCTGAGGTTAAAGTCTCTTCATTATAAGAGATCGAAAAATCTTATTTAATGTCTAAACTTTGTTGATTCCCCAGCTAAGTCAATATTTAAATTGTTGTATACCAAAAAATGAACACAACTTAAAATGCGACTCGCAGCAAATTTACGCAAATTTTGTAGTTTGCGCAAATGTTTAAATATTTGCAATACAAAAATAGTTAAAATTCAAACGTGCACGAACGTCACAAATCTCTACCTTTTCTCTACCCTTCGGGTTGTCCATAACCAAATACAAATATACAAAATCCATATACAACATTTAAATGCGAAGGCGGGCAAAACAAATGGAATAATCGATGTGCTTGTCTCGTCGGAAACAGTAAAAGCCAAACACAAAATACAAAGCATAAAATCATAAAAAAACATCGAAGGAAACAGGTTTTCTACTTTTTGATACCCTTGCTCGGCATAGTTCAATATTGTCATTTAACGTGTAACGTAGTTAGGGAGGCACTTTCGATTCTAAATATTTAAACGAAGAGTTAAGTCGATACAAATTTTGAATAGTATTGCATTTTATATATTGTCTATAAACAATCCACCTTGATCTATTTACCTTTGATCACATTATAGGATATATTTTAAAGAATGGAAGTGTATTTAAGCTTCGTTGCCTTAAACTGAAACCTTTCATATTCTTCCTTTCACATATTTTTAATGTTTACTCTTTCAAGATGAAGAGTTTATCCATCTTGATCATTTGACTTGAAATATTTCAAGGATTGGAGTGTATATATATGCTTCGTTGCTTTAGACTCAAACTATTCATGTTCTTCCTCTCACGTATGTTTAATGTTTTCTCTTTCAAGATGAAGAGTTTAGTCGATATTCATTTCAATTAGTTACTTTTTTATACATTTTCTAAAAGCAATCCATCTTGATCCTTGACTTGAAATATTTCAAGGAAAGGAAGTGTATTTAAGCGTCGTTGCTTTATACTTATACTATTCATGTTCTTCCTCTCACGTATTTTGATTGTTTTCTCTTTGGCAAATCGTTTTGAATACAACCTGCGAGTAGTTTAGAATGAAAGAGATAAACGACAAACAATGTTTGCCTAAATTGCACGTTTAGTTCTTATAAGTGAAACGTATGTGATATGTATGCATGTATGTATGTATGTATGTACATACCATACATACAGAAGTACACATGCTCTGTGCAAACGGTCATTCATCATAAAACTGAATTCTGCGCTCGCATTCATGCGTTGCAAGGCGCCTATTGTCGCAATCTAGGTCAAAGTTGAACACTAAAGCTTATAGCACCCATATGTATTTACGTAAGTACATACATATGTAACATATGTATATACATTGTTGTTGATTACATAGGTGCAAAGTATCTAAATGGTATTTAAAAAAAGTACCTTAAATGAATTCAAAGGTGGAGCGCGAAATATTGTTATCGAAACCCATAAAGTTATCGGCGTGATCTTATTATATATATTCTTACTATCCCTACTAAGCGCGGGGAGTTCCCGACTTAGAGATACCCTGCATACATGCAAATACAAAAATTTGAAATTTCTGGTTGACATAAAATAAATGCACATAAACATGACTCGTTTGTTGAAGCTGCCTAAGAATATGCACACTTTATGGGTTCGAACTTCGAAGTATTAAAATTTAATTAAAATTCTAGAATATATAGGAGAAAGCTTCAGCATCAGGGAAAAGACGCTTTCTGTGCCCAGACTCATTATTTCTTGAAAAAATAATTACTGATATGTACATTAGCCGCTTCCTGTTTGGCGCGAGAAAGAGAGAGAGAGAGAGTGAGAGAGGGAGCGAGAGAGAGAGAGAGGCGCGCTATCACACTCGAAAGGCAACACAAGAAGTATTGCTTAATAATTACACACAACATTGCCCCTCCCCACCCCTTTGAGCACTTATCATGCCAGCTCCGACTACGACTCCGGACTCCGACTCAGAATGGCCTCAAGGCGACTGCCAACTGACGCCGATCGTGTAAACTCAGTGAATTGGAAAGTGAGCGCAGAAGCTGCACGAACAGACGGACGAACAGACGGACGAACTGACAGACAGACGAACAGATGGACAGACATGAAACACCTGCTGCTTCCGAAAGCGACAGAATGAAACTGAAATGTTTGCTGGAGTGAAAATGAGCACACACAAGTCCACAATCGAAATCCTAGTGGACGCCACACACGCAGGCATGTGACAATTGTTTTTATCGTTTATTTAAACAACACTACTAAACAAATAGACGGCACAGCCAATTATGCAATGAACAATTGTTGTAAAATATCTATTTAACTCGTATTGCACACGGCGCATTACAACAATGAAAATGATAAATACATGCAGCCAAAGCCGACCTTGATGCCAGTTTAATCAAGTAAAAAGTGTTCCAAGGGAGAGAAGTTAGAAAAAGGGCCAGAGGGCCGGGCTAATGGCAATTACTAATTGTGCAGACGCTTTTAACTGTTTTTTTATTGTTAGCACTAGAATCGCAATGAAATGGCAATTAAAATCAGGTAACTAACCTTTCGCTGATTTTGGCGTGACGAGTTTTCGGTTTCTGTTGATTGTTGTTGTTGATGCGCTCCAAATGTTGCCAAGACCAGGCCTAAGACCAACGACCAGGCCAGGCCAAAATGACTAATGCTCGCACACACACACACACAAGCACACAAGCACACAAACTCACGCAATATCGAAAACTTTTTTGCCGCGCTTGCTTGTTCAGCAAACTAGCCAAGAGTTGTTGGTGTGCGTATGTCACAACTCAATACAACAACACAAAAGGAGGCAGCTGCAAAATGCAGTGCTATTGCATGCAGCTGCAGCACACGCAGCTGTCGTATTGTTTTCCACACTTTACACTAAACTAGCGAGTACACTTACAAATTAGGGCTATAGGTATACAATTAGTTGGTGCTTTGGCTTAATTGCAAATTTTTTTTGTAGAACAAATTTCGTTTTTTACAGCTAAACTGCGCCGCGATTTGCTACTGTTGTTCGTTTTCGCTCGTTTGACAATCCGTTGCCAGAGTTGTATCATTTCGCTAGAGATGTTACTTGCGAATAGCGCGACAAAAATATCGATATGTAAATGGCTTGAATTCGACACAAGGAAATTTTTTCTTTAAATTTGCTTGTTTTACTCATAAATTTTGGAATCTAAAAATCTATTTTGAAATCTTAAATTTTGGCATCTTAACATGCTTGGTTAAAACCTTCGCAGCATTTTTTTAAAACTCAAATGTGCATTGCGATAGGCTGGTAACACTGTCATCCAGTTGCATTCGGCTGCTACAAACAAAAACAAAAGCAACAACATCGCAGACCATTAAGCCCAAACAAAAGCGAACAAAACGGTGAAAAAACTACTTATTGTTAATATATTTAGGCTGGGCCTATTCCTGCGCACATACAGCATGGCCTGGCGTTCAGTGGGTGCAAACAATGCCGATCTTATACGTCAGCTACGAGGTAAGCATCCAACAAGTTCAACTAATCGACTTGTTCTAAATGTATGCACATTTGTATGTACCTGTATTTATAAATATATATTTTGAACAGACTACGGCGTAATTGCAACAGATTCGGTGGCAAATGCAATGATAGCTACAGATCGCAAACACTACTCTCCCCGTAACCCGTATATGGATGCACCACAGCCAATCGGCGGTGGCGTAACTATAAGTGCCCCTCACATGGTAATTTTGACTGATATTCCCATTTGTACCAAATGAATTTGATGTCAACTTAACTGTTGTGATTTTTCGACTTAGCACGCCTTTGCTTTGGAATATTTGCGCGATCAACTAAAGCCTGGCGCTCATGTACTTGATGTGGGCTCCGGCTCTGGCTACCTAACTGCCTGCTTCTATCGCTATGTGAAGTCGAAGGGCGAAAATGCAAACACTCGCATTGTTGGGATTGAGCACCAGGCTAGTTTGGTGGCAATGAGCAAAACCAATCTTAACGCAGATGATAGCAGCATGCTGGAATCTGGCAACATGCTTATCGTTGAGGGAGATGGACGCAAGGGACATCCCGCTCTTGCGCCGTACGATGCTATTCATGTGGGCGCCGCTGCGCCAGATACACCTACCGAATTAATAAACCAACTAGCTAACGGAGGTCGCCTAATCGTTCCTGTTGGCCCGGAGGGAGGAACACAGTATATGCAGCAGGTGTATATAGTTGTTATATATGGTTACTCAAAATCAATTGATTTATTTTATACATCTATAGTACGACAAGGATGCCAATGGCAAAGTACAGATGACGCGTCTAATGGGCGTCATGTACGTACCACTAACGGATCTACGTTCTTGACTGCACAATCTGTGGAAGGCGCTGGTCGTTATGCTGCTGTTTGGTTATGTGGTCTACCGATTATGGATATCTTATCATTAGCATTATATCTTCCTAATATTAACAGCAAGCTCGAATGCTTCTTCCCATGTTAAACCAAATTATTATTTACATATATATTTAATAAACGCAATAAATTTATAAGACTCGTATATAGACATAGGTCGATATTTCCCACCCCCATAACTCGGCCAAAACTGAACCGATTTCCATAGGGCTTGATTTTTTGTACATAGTTTTCCATCTCGATTAATCTGGCATTCAAATCTGACTACGTAAATTTTAGTCGAAATCCATGTCCAAATCTTACCCTTAAGACTCGTATATAGACATAGGTCGAAATTTCCCACCTCCATAACTCGGCCAAAACTGAACCGATTTCCATAGGGCTTGATTTTTTGTACATAGTTTTCCATCTCGATTAATCTGGCATTCAAATCTGACTACGTAAATTTTAGTCGAATTTCATGTCACAATCTTATCCCTAAGACTCGTATATAGACATAGGTCAAAATTTCCCACCCCCATAACTGGGCCAAAACTGAACCGATTTCCATAGGGCTTCATTTTTTTTACAAAGTTTTCCATCTCGATTAATCTGGCATTCAAATCTGACTACGTAAATTTTAGTCGAAATCCATGTCCAAATCTTACCCCTAGGATTCGTATATAGACATAGGTCGAAATATCCCACCCCCATAACTCGGCCAAAACTGAACCGATTTCCATAGGGCTTGATTTTTTTTTACATAGTTTTCCGTCTTAATTAATCTGGTATTCAAATCTGACTATGTAAATTTTAGTCGAATTTCATGTCAAAATCTTACCCCTAAGACTCGTATATAGACATAGGTCGAAATTTCCCACCCCCATAACTCGGCCAAAACTGAACCGATTTCCATAGGGCTTGATTTTTTGTACATAGTTTTCCATCTCGATTAATCTGGCATTCAAATCTGACTACGTAAATTTTAGTCGAAATCCATGTCCAAATCTTACCCCTAAGACTCGTATATAGACATAGGTCGAAATTTCCCACCCCCATAACTCGGCCAAAACTGAACCGATTTCCATAGGGCTTGATTTTTTGTACATAGTTTTCCATCTTAATTAAACTGGCATTTAAATCTGACTATGTACATTTTAGTCGAATTTCATGTCAAAATCTTACCCCTAAGACTCGTATATAGACATAGGTCGAAATTTCCCACCCCCATAACTCGGCCAAAACTGAACCGATTTCCATAGGGCTTGATTTTTTGTACATAGTTTTCCGCCTTAATGAATCTGGCATTCAAATCTGACTACGTAAATTTTAGTCGAATTTCATGTCAAAATCTTACCCCTAAGACTCGTATATAGACATAGGTCGAAATTTCCCACCCCCATAACTCGGCCAAAATTGAACCGATTTCCATAGGGCTTGATTTTTTGTACATAGTTTTCCGTCTAAATTAAACTGGCATTTAAATCTGACTATGTAAATTTTAGTCGAATTTCATGTCCAAAATCTTACCCCTAAGACTCGTATATAGACATAGGTCGAAATTTCCCACCCCCATAACTCGGCCAAAATTGAACCGATTTCCATAGGGCTTGATTTTTTGTACATAGTTTTCCATCTCGATTAATCTGGCATTTAAATCTGACTATGTAAATTTTAGTCGAATTTCATGTCCAAAATCTTACCCCTAAGACTCGTATATAGACATAGGTCGAAATTTCCCACCCCCATAACTCGGCCAAAATTGAACCGATTTCCATAGGGCTTGATTTTTTGTACATAGTTTTCCATCTCGATTAATCTGGCATTCAAATCTGACTACGTAAATTTTAGTCGAAATCCATGTCCAAATCTTACGCCTAAGACTCGTATATAGACATAGGTCGAAATTTCCCACCCCCATAACTCGGCCAAAACTGAACCGATTTCCATAGGGCTTGATTTTTTGTACATAGTTTTCCGTCTAAATTAAACTGGCATTTAAATCTGACTATGTAAATTTTAGTCGAATTTCATGTCAAAATCTTACCCCTAAGACTCGTATATAGACATAGGTCGAAATTTCCCACCCCCATAACTCGGCCAAAACTGAACCGATTTCCATAGGGCTTGATTTTTTGTACATAGTTTTCCGTCTTAATTAATCTGGTATTCAAATCTGGCTACGTAAATTTTAGTCGAATTTCATGTCCAAATCTTACCCCTAAGACTCGTATATAGACATAGGTCGAAATTTCCCACCCCCATAACTCGGCCAAAATTGAACCGATTTCCATAGGGCTTGATTTTTTGTACATAGTTTTCCGTCTAAATTAAACTGGCATTTAAATCTGACTATGTAAATTTTAGTCGAATTTCATGTCCAAATCTTACCCCTAAGACTCGTATATAGACATAGGTCGAAATTTCCCACCCCCATAACTCGGCCAAAATTGAACCGATTTCCATAGGGCTTGATTTTTTGTACATAGTTTTCCATCTCGATTAATCTGGCATTCAAATCTGACTACGTAAATTTTAGTCGAAATCCATGTCCAAATCTTACGCCTAAGACTCGTATATAGACATAGGTCGAAATTTCCCACCCCCATAACTCGGCCAAAACTGAACCGATTTCCATAGGGCTTGATTTTTTGTACATAGTTTTCCGTCTAAATTAAACTGGCATTTAAATCTGACTATGTAAATTTTAGTCGAATTTCATGTCAAAATCTTACACCTAAGACTCGTATATAGACATAGGTCGAAATTTCCCACCCCCATAACTCGGCCAAAACTGAACCGATTTCCATAGGGCTTGATTTTTTGTACATAGTTTTCCGTCTTAATTAATCTGGTATTCAAATCTGGCTACGTAAATTTTAGTCGAATTTCATGTCAAAATCTTACCCCTAAGACTCGTATATAGACATAGGTCGAAATTTCCCACCCCCATAACTCGGCCAAAACTGAACCGATTTCCATAGGGCTTGATTTTTTGTACTTAGTTTTCCGCCTTAATTAATCTGGCATTCAAATCTGACTACGTAAATTTTAGTCGAAATCCATGTCCAAATCTTACCCCAAAGATTCGTATATAGACATAGGTCGATATTTCCCACCCCCATAACTCGGCCAAAACTGAACCGATTTCCATAGGGCTTGATTTTTTGTACATAGTTTTCCGTCTTAATTAATCTGGTATTCAAATCTGGCTACGTAAATTTTAGTCGAATTTCATGTCAAAATCTTACCCCTAAGACTCGTATATAGACATAGGTCGAAATTTCCCACCCCCATAACTCGGCCAAAACTGAACCGATTTCCATAGGGCTTGATTTTTTGTACATAGTTTTCCGTCTAAATTAAACTGGCATTTAAATCTGACTATGTAAATTTTAGTCGAATTTCATGTCCAAATCTTACCCCTAAGACTCGTATATAGACATAGGTCGAAATTTCCCACCCCCATAACTCGGCCAAAATTGAACCGATTTCCATAGGGCTTGATTTTTTGTACATAGTTTTCCGTCTAAATTAAACTGGCATTTAAATCTGACTATGTAAATTTTAGTCGAATTTCATGTCCAAATCTTACCCCTAAGACTCGTATATAGACATAGGTCGAAATTTCCCACCCCCATAACTCGGCCAAAATTGAACCGATTTCCACAGGGCTTGATTATTTGTACATAGTTTTCCGTCTAAATTAAACTGGCATTTAAATCTGACTATGTAAATTTTAGTCGAATTTCATGTCCAAATCTTACCCCTAAGACTCGCATATAGAGATAGGTCGAAATTTCCCACCCCCATAACTCGGCCAAAACTGAACCGATTTCCATAGGGCTTGATTTTTTGTACTTAGTTTTCCGCCTTAATTAATCTGGCATTCAAATCTGACTACGTAAATTTTAGTCGAAATCCATGTCCAAATCTTACCCCAAAGATTCGTATATAGACATAGGTCGATATTTCCCACCCCCATAACTCGGCCAAAACTGAACCGATTTCCATAGGGCTTGATTTTTTGTACATAGTTTTCCGTCTTAATTAATCTGGTATTCAAATCTGGTTACGTAAATTTTAGTCGAATTTCATGTCAAAATCTTACCCCTAAGACTCGTATATAGACATAGGTCGAAATTTCCCACCCCCATAACTCGGCCAAAACTGAACCGATTTCCATAGGGCTTGATTTTTTGTACATAGTTTTCCGTCTAAATTAAACTGGCATTTAAATCTGACTATGTAAATTTTAGTCGAATTTCATGTCCAAATCTTACCCCTAAGACTCGTATATAGACATAGGTCGAAATTTCCCACCCCCATAACTCGGCCAAAATTGAACCGATTTCCACAGGGCTTGATTTTTTGTACATAGTTTTCCGTCTAAATTAAACTGGCATTTTAATCTGACTATGTAAATTTTAGTCGAATTTCATGTCCAAATCTTACCCCTAAGACTCGCATATAGACATAGGTCGAAATTTCCCACCCCCATAACTCGGCCAAAATTGAACCGATTTCCACAGGGCTTGATTTTTTGTACATAGTTTTCCGTCTAAATTAAACTGGCATTTAAATCTGACTATGTAAATTTTAGTCGAATTTCATGTCCAAATCTTACCCCTAAGACTCGTATATAGACATAGGTCGAAATTTCCCACCCCCATAACTCGGCCAAAATTGAACCGATTTCCATAGGGCTTAATTTTTTGTACATAGTTTTCCGTCTAAATTAAACTGGCATTTAAATCTGACTACGTAAATTTTACTCGAAATCCATGTCCAAATCTTACCCCTAAGACTCGTATATAGACATAGGTCGAAATTTCCCACCCCCATAACTCGGCCAAAATTGAACCGATTTCCACAGGGCTTGATTTTTTGTACATAGTTTTCCGTCTAAATAAAACTGGCATTTAAATCTGACTATGTAAATTTTAGTCGAATTTCATGTCCAAATCTTACCCCTAAGACTCGCATATAGAGATAGGTCGAAATTTCCCACCCCTATAACTCGGCCAAAACTGAACCGATTTCCATAGGGCTTGATTTTTTGTACTTAGTTTTCCGCCTTAATTAATCTGGTATTCAAATCTGGCTACGTAAATTTTAGTCGAATTTCATGTCAAAATCTTACCCCTA